CTTAAAATAAAAAAGGATGACTGTTAGGGTAATGCAGGTATTCTTTTTTTTTTATCATGACTAACAGGAAAAAGAAAAACCAAAAAACCTCACATACTGTTCCAACCCTGTTTCACAGACARTAAGTTTCAGGAAAAAAGCCTTCTCAGAGACAAACTCAATACCGAATTTGCGGCTGTCACTATCATTGCAGTCGCACAGTTGACAGACTTGCCTATGATGAACAAGGTAGTGAGGTTGTCCCTTCTGAAGAACAAATCCGAGTTCATTGCAATTCTAAATAAACTGGCCACTAAATCAGGCTTTTGTGGCAATCACCTCTTCCACTAAACCACAAGAAGCCTTAATGCCAGCATTTCTTAAGCTTAGTGTGCCTCACTCTGCTGTCTCAGATGGGCTCTTTAATAATGAAACGACAAGATTTGTAAGAAGGATTTAGCCCAAACATTTGATTAGAGGAATCAAAAATATTTACTGATAGAAACTAGTTCTTTCTTCATGACATGATCCTACAATTTAACACTAACATAAACTACTAATACCTGCCCCGATTTCTCTACATTCTACCTGTTTCAAAGGCTGGGTTTTACTTGAACTTGTGAAACTGGAGATTTCCTCATATATATCTCCAAATACACAATACTCAAACACAGTTTACATCATGCTAGTGATTATTGCCTCCTTAAGGTATTTCATAAATCAAAAATATAGCTGAATTTTAGGTATAAACAAATAGTTATGATATATGGCCAGTAGGAACTCGAACTACCATCCCAATCCAGCTCCCAAGAGCATTCAGCAGTAAAAAGGAACAGTATGTATAGATACAGAAATCTTTGTCAAGGTTGCATGAGAGACAAACCTTGAGGCACACTTCATCCTCCAGGTCCCAATCTAGCAAGGCATTTATGCCTTGTATGTTTGAGCAGGCAAGCATAATTCAGTAGCACACYGCATAGCGGTAAAAGCATGTTTAAGGGCTTTGCTTGATTTAATCTATCAGCTATGAGAAGACATATCATTTTGTACTTAAGCTTCTTGGACTTAGAAGCCATTGTTTTAGCAGATTTTAATTTATATAGATACATAAAAAGATATTCTTACCCTGAGAACTACCCTGAGTCATAATCGAGATGCTAATTTATTTCCTCTGTGTGTAAACTTCTAACCATTCTCCAAATTTCAATCCTGAAGCCTTATTAGTCAACTTTGTTTTTCCTTTATGTCACTTTTAGATGCTTGTTTGCTAAAGCACTGCTTCAAAGTTCATACTCAAAGCAATAAAAGTGTACTTAATTTGAATTACCTGCAGTTGAAGGAAATGTTTCTATTGTTTTGGTCACATTACAAACACCTTTTCAAAAGGGCTCTTAAAAAAAATCTGTGCAACTGTTGATATATTTATAAGCAGTCACTGTCCTACAGACCTCAGTAGTGGGCTGAAATATCTCTTAGTTAATTTTACTGGTATGTGAAACCAAAACTAAATAAAGTCAACCCCCAGCAGAACAAAGGCCTGAAAGTGAAATAGAAAGAAATGAGATAGTGACTTCATAGGCATCTGCACCTTACTGTGTATTTTAATAAGTAATACAGTTCAGCACAAGAGAAATATAGACGAGCAGACTTTATAGCATTCATTTAACACTTTTAACATTGAGCAGGGTATTATCTCTGCCCAGTAAGAAAAGTCAGTCTACTCCCTCAGGTGGCAAGGTATCCCACTTTCTCTCTTCTCCTGTCCTGATTATAATTTCCTTGAACTAAAAATTGTTGCTAGTCTTAAGATTTAACTGATTTCACCTAGCAATATAAATCTTACATTGTTCCTTTACACACAGACAACATCAGGAGCAACATGAAGAAGCAACAAGCAGATAAGTCAATTCCAAGGAGATCCACAACACAGCGACTCAAACTGTACTTCACATATCAGCTCCTAAACTACATTTTAAGTGCATCCCTTGGATCTTTCAAGCATCACAGTATCAGACACGATATATCATACATGTGGACTTTGCAATCTGGTATTCTCTCAACAAAGAGCACTGCACTTAAGTGTTACAGTGCAATACTAGGGTATTTACCGAAGTCTATTTCTGATCCAAGACTAAGTGTAGGACGCAAAATAAAGGAACACGAGTAAAGCTATAGCTACCAGTAAGTACTCTGCGATGAGGCAATACTCAAAATTAGCTTAATTTTCATGAAATTGTATGCTGTCTCACTTAAAACATAGTTACACGTGATACAAAAAAAGCAATGCTTTGACAAGACTTGGGAGAATGGAGGAAGGACTTGGGAGAATGGACTCTTTTCAGAAAAGTCACATGCAATAGTAAGAATTAATGCTGCATGGCTCAGGTGTAGCCCTGCTAAGGCACTATTATCTTGAATTCAAATACTGTGATTATTCAAGTCTTTAAAATGAGTTGCAGGTCTACAGAGACAAAATTAATACAATTTTACAGAATCTCCCATTCCTAAACATGTTTATTTAATAACACCACCTCCATCTCTCAATTGCTTAATTCCAATGTTATTCTGCTTAGCCAATTATGTACAAGATTTAAGTTTGAATAGACTCAAACATGTAAAATTACATCTACATTAATGTCAGTATTTTAATAAGAAATGTTATTGCTAAATGGCTTATATTTAGGTCATTGTGTGAAAGCAGCTGCTTTATATTCCTAGTTCCACTAAAATGTAAAAAGGCAACAAGATCTTTTATTGACAGTTGCATTCAAAAACATACCAGTTACATAAGTTTGCAAATTATACTGTGCCAAAGTTAAATATCTAAGCATTTAAACGATAGTTCTTAAAACACTATCTCAGCAAGAATGACTCAACTTAGCTGTGTAAGCTGCACTCTAGATAAGAGGCAAGTGGCTTGGTTTTATAGAAAAAAATCTTTTTGCATTCTGCTTTAATTCAAATTGCACCAAGTGAGTTCTGCTTGTTTAGACCTGCAAGCTTCACCAGTCCTTTGGCATCTCCATCTCGCCTCCTTAGTTTCACAGCACCCATAGACAGCTAAGTAAATACTTGGAAAACAGGTATATTATACCTCAAGGGGAAAGATTTACTAGACCAACCAGAAGACTACATCTATTAGCCATATGTAAGCCTTGTCTATATACTAGAAAAACATAGCTATGCCAGAAGAACAGGAGAGCATATCAATCAGCTCTCTGCAGTATAAGCTACATTTACCAGATTTTATCAGATATGTATGTCTGCGAAGAAAACTTTAACAACTGGCATCATGTATCTGCATGTTCTTTACTTTTAGTATATGGACAAGATCTAGGGCCCACAAAGAATGGCTCAGAAGAGAAAGCTTTAGGAGCAGTTCTGTCATACTGCAGTGAAAAACACTGATATAACTACCAAAACTGCTTTTCTTCAGTAATCTGATTGCTGCTTATACAGATGCTGGGTAAGGAAGAAGTAAAACTTCCTCAGCATACATCTTTTCCTCCATTCTACTACTCATATTATTGATAGAAAAACTATGAGTAGTATCAGAAGAAAAGCTATCAGGGAAGAAATGTGGGTAAAACTTGCACAATTGTTTATAAATTGGCAATTCACATAGGGTCATGAGCTACAACAGTCAACTGTAACTTCACTACTGCTTCACAAATCCTCAATCAGCCACCTAACCATCAGGGGGAAAAAAAAAAAAGAAAAATAAAGAAAAAAAGTATGTGCACGAAAAATGCTGCACTAGCTCATTTTTGGAAAGTCACCTCAAATTAAAGGAGTCAGAACTTATTATTGAAAGATTCTACTTATTCTACTGTTAAATACCACAGCCTAAGGAAACATATGATCCATCACTTAAGGAAGAAACCTACTGCTTTCAGTATYTAAGACAGCTGTCTGCTAACAAAAATAAAGTAATAATAAAAATCTTTCAAATGACATGCATAAAAGTTATGACACTGGTCATTTGATTGACCCACAAAGGAGGTACAGATCAAAAAAATACTCTTTCCTTAAAACTACTACAGTAAATTTAAATGTTRGTTTTGTAACAACAAAATTTTGCCATACATATCAAGACACCCCAATGCTTTAGCCGCACAAAATAAACACAAACACACACTGAACATTTGTCTATGAACTCAAATTCTTCCAAAACAATTAACCTGCCGCCAATCTTGGGGCTGCATCATATCTACGGCTGCACAGACTAAGGGGACAAGAAAGTTACAGCCTCAGAGCCCACGAGTTTTAACACACGGGCCCAAACACCCACCACATCACGGGGCAAGTTTTTAATCCCAGGGGCCCGTTTGCTCAAGGCTCCTTCCACCCTGACAGAKCGCAGAGCGGCAGCGCAACCTTTGCTCGTTGTTTTCCGCGGCACCGGAATCTCGGCGTTGTTTTCAAAGGCACCGGAATCTCGCCCAAACTTTAAAGGCCTCCCCGGCGCTGGCAAGCGAGCAGGCTGCCGGCTGCATAATCATGTCACTACTTGGGGCACCCCTGGTGCTCCAACCCTTGCTGGGGTCGGGTGCTTTATAAATAGATGCGTGTTCCTTTATTTTTCCTTTCTTACCGCCTCCCTGCGCCGTGCCCGGGGCGTCTGGGCGGCGATGGCAGAGGAGGCTGTTTATAGCCATTATTAAACGAGCTCCGCATGGGCAAGGCGGGAGGAGCGGAGCAGAGCGCTGCTACCTGGGCCAGGCCCCAGCCCCTCCACGGCCAGTCCCGCGGGGCTCCCCCCGCCCCGGCCCTCCCGTGAGGAGCCCGCAATGCGGGGGCGGCGGCGGCCACGGGGGGGGCTCCGCGCAGCATCATCCCAAGGCACCATCCCCCTCCCTCTCCCTTCCCCCCCCCTTCCATCTCCCTCCCTCTTTCCGCCCCGAGCCGGTACCGGCGATGGCGCCGCCTCCCCCCGCCGCTTGTTTACCGGCCCCCGGGGCCGGCCCTGCCGCCCCCTCCCCGGCCCGGAGCGGCTCCCCGCACTGCGCGGCGCCACTTACCCCCCGGGCGCGGCGGACGGCGCCGGCTGAGGCGGGCTGGGCCGCGCTGCCGGCGGAGGGCAGGGGGAAGGGGCAGCCGGGGACGCCCGCGGTGGGGCCGGCGGCGATGGGGATGGGGAGAAGGGGAAGGAGGGGGGGAAGGGCGGCCCGGCCGGCGGCCTCGCCTCAGTTCATTCGCAGGCGGCGGCTGCCGCGGGCGGCTCGGTGCGCAGCGGGAGCGCAGCGCTCATGTCGCCTCCTCTCCCCCCTCCGCCGCCGCGGACCGCCCGTCCCGCGCCCCCCTCCCTCCGCCTCACACACACACCCCGCGCCGCCTCCTCTGCGCAGGCGCGCCGGGCGCCGCCGCCGCCCCTCCCCCTCGCGCTGCGCTTGCTGCGCGTGCGCGCGGCCCCCCCCCCCCCGGGGGTGGGTGTTGCGGGTTGGGGGGGGTGGCAGCGCCGCCGCCGCCAACGGGCGCTCCCGGCGCAGGGTCCCGCCGCGCGCGGGGTACCCGGATGTGGCGGCTGCGAGCGCGGCGGTTACATCACCCTGTGGCCGCGCGCGGCCGCTCGGAGCATGCGCGGGGGAGCGGCGCGAGCCCGCGCGGGCTGCGGGAGGGCGGGGGGAGGGGGTGCGTCATGCGCGCCCGCCCTGAGGCGGCGGCGGCGGCGGGCGGGAGGAGGGGACCGTTAACGGTGCCGTCATGGCACCGCGGCGCCCGCCCGAGCGAGCCGGGCCGAGCAACCTCCCCCTGGGAAGGTGGCGGCAGACGCGGAGCTGCCCGCGGTGCTGCGGGGTGGGGGACAGAGCGCTGCTCGCGTGGCCCCCCGCAGAGCTGGAGCTGAGGCGGGCAGGGCGCGGTGCTCTTGGCCCGACGGGTGGTTTGCCAGGGGTGAAGGCGCAGTGGGTTTCATCACCCCCACGGGAGGCTCGCTGGCGTGAGGGCGGACAGCGGTCCCCCACGGGCCTGGGGATACACGTGGAGTGGGCGAGTTACCAAACAAACAGCTTCCCCCAGCCCTGGCGCCTCCATGGGTGCCGCTCGCCACCTCTGCCCATGTTGCTTGGGCACCCGCCCTGCCGTGGGTCTTGTCCCCCACGGCCACGCACGGCTGGCGAGCCATGCCCAAGCGGAGCGGTTCCGTCCTAGCAAGCCGTGCCCAAGCGGAGCGGTTCCCTCCCGGCCGCCCCGGGAAGGCAGGAGGAGGAGGCCCTGGGGGAGGATTTGCGAGGAGGCCGCTGCGAGGAACGGGGCCTGGCTGGGCGAGCGATGGCTCTGTGCAGGGGACGGCGTGTGKTGCTGCTTCCAGCAGGGCAACCCTTTAAATCACGGGCTGAGAGCGGGCGGGAAGGAAAGGGGGGCGCTTTTCAGGAGAGGATGTGTAGGAGTCGGGGCGCTTGGGGGAGGGAATTGTTTGCAGAGTGCTCGGGAAGGGCAAGACGGGTCCTTAGCTAACATCAGCAAGATTGCTGGACATCATTTCTATCGCTGACAGTATAAAAGCAGGCAGCTCTGATTAAGGCTTCGCTAAAAATGTTTGGAAATCCCTCAGATTGCTGGTCAGATTAGCAGATTGCTCCTCTTGCCATTGCAGATACAATCGGTGCAGCTTTAGTCCAACTGTGCCAACTACTGGAGTCAGATAATTGTGGGCTCTTGCACAGGTAAGACCTGTACAAACAGCACGGCCCTACCTGGAGCCAACCAGGAACACAAATGCAGTGAAAACTCATCACTGCAGGGCTTTCCAGCAACAGAGAAACTCACTGTGTTTAAGTATCATTACAAAACCTCCAGTTCCCATCGCTGACTATGACTGAATGGTATGTTTGGACCTGATCTTACTGTTTTCTGTCAAATCATGTTTATTAGTATGACACTGAGCACCACATGGTTGTGCTCTGTGTTAACTGTTTCAGCCCTTTAAGTCRTAGTTAAGTGCAACCAAATTTTCTAGTGGAAATAAGCCTACAGGGAAACTTAAACACATGTTATTTTGAAAAACTATTGGGATAGGGGGTGCAGTGCAGTGTGTTCCACAACAGARGTTTTTGGGACATCATGGCAAAATGCTTAAAATCTCCATCGATGAGATTCTGAATTTCCTCTTGGTAGTCAAAGAAAATCAGTTGCAATCGCTGAATCACAGAATGGTTGAGGTTGGAAAGGACCTCTAGAGATCTAGTCCATTTTGATGCAGTTGAGATTTTAGAATCTTTTTTTCCCCAGAAATTTCTAGACCATACGAACAAGGGAGAGGCTGTACAGAATGGTTCCTGCTTGCATGTGCCTTGTACACATGCACAGCCATGCTTTAACCTTAAACGTGATTTTAGTTTTTCACTCTCCTTTTCCTTCTAGCACAAAACGCTGTAATGAATCCAGTACTTGGAATTACATAAAATTGCAGAGTGTGYTTAGATTTTATTTGTTATTATGGAGGGAGGGGTTTATATTTTATAAAATAAAAGTGAGCAAGACCATGGTCGCGCTTTCTTGTGATGCCCTAGATTTAAGCTGCAGGAATGTAATGACAGCAGAGAGTTTGCTGCTGTCATTTTCTATTTATATGTTTTTCTTAGGAAATCAGATGGAGTCAAATTACCAGCACATTTTCTTGAAGTGCAGCTTTTATCCTCTCCTTTTGCCTGGCCTGTTGTACTGCCAATAGTGATTCATGATTTAACAGAAATTCAATCACCGCGTTGCATTTAGTGTAAAACAGAGCTGTATGTAAATATGGCTCTTTAATTTGCACTACATATCCCAGCAGGCAATTCTTTCTTTTCCCCCTTTGTGTGGAGCAATGTTGGATTCAGATGACTGGGATATGTAGTCAGTAGGGAGCAGAGCTCCTCAGGAACGGGCAGTCATAGGAGTCATTGTGAACTCTCAGCTCTGCATCATAAACCAAGTCTGCATTATTGAGAAGAATTGCATTGCTTTATCTGGAACAAATGATTCTTATTTACATAACAATTCATATTTTAAATGCATGCTGTTTCACTGTATTTTTTTTTTTGGAGAAAATTCTTTTTCATCCAGAGCCCTTCCATTCCAAATTCCGCCTCCTGCTACAGTATCCAGCTACAGTCAAGTAATGGATAGTATATATCTATGGATCAGATAACTAGATATTCCAGATAAGTAGATATTTACCACCTATCCACGTTTTTTTTTTTCCCCCCCCTGGAGGAAGTCCAATGTACTATTAAAAACTCTCTCTCTCAAAAAAAGTAAGAACTGTTCCTGATTACAACATTTCCATTAAAAAAAAAAAAAAAAAAGAAAAGAAAAAGGAGTGCACTTAGTACTGGGATCTCGTGGCAATTTAACTGCATTTTGGAACCACTTTCCATCATAGTGGCCATTTCATTCTGTAGGAGTCAGCTGTTATTTCTGTGCATTGATATTATTTACTCTGTGCATTGATATTATCTACTGTTCCTTTCAGATTTAATAAAATGGGTGCGTTGGTTAAACTTCTTATACAAGTGGAGCCTGAGGTATCAAAATTTTGTGTGTTCATTAAGAGGGAACATCCAGTACAAATATAACTATAGGGTTGCATGATTTATGTTTCTTGATCCATAAGTGAACAAGCTTTGCTTCTTTCAGTGTTTCACATGTAGTGTATTCAAAAGGTCTGTACAAGCAGAGCCTTTTTGGTTCAGGTTTCCTTAGTTATCTTCTCTTTTTCCCTGACAGTCTTCTACTAATACTTGACATAAGTAGAAAATAATATATTTGAAGTTACTCTGTAGCCTAAAAAGCTGGTAAACTGGCTGTTTGTTCTCAATCCTATTATAAGGCAAAAAGCATCTTGGGTCCTGTAAGATCCATCAATCTAGCAAGAAATATTTATTTGCAGTTTAAGACAAGAAAGTAGTTAGCAGTAAAGGATTTGCCTGCTTTCACATAGCTCTAAAATAGCCTTTCTGCATCTCGGGGAAGGGCCGTATCTTCAAATTATGTAGAAATATTCGTGTCGTCCCAGAATGGCTGTACCTAGAGCCATAGGGCCAACCATGTCCTTTTCAATGTTTCACTTTCCCAAGGCTGTTGTTTTTCTGCGGCACTCAGAGTTGTATCTTTGGAGAATGCTTTGGAAAATCCTTGTTTTGGTGCATCATTGCAGACTGAGTAGTTCAGGAAATTGAGCCAGCCCCATCATAGGGCCTTGGATACAGTCTGTGGTTGTGCRCTGTCCCTGGAAACAGTTTCCATCAGCTTCTGTCCATGAGATTTGTATCACCTTGCAATAYGCTTCTAAATGGTAGGCATGGAGTCAAGCTAATTGTCCAGTGGAGAGAGACAAGCACCTTCAGATAATCATTATTCATTGGTAATTRGTATCTAAAGCAGGTTGGATGAGTTACCTCCTGGAGATGATGCTTTGTCACCTATAGTTTCTCTGGCTACAGAAGAAGGTGAAAGACAGCTTGGACTGGACACTTATCTTTTAGATGGCTGAAGTTAAATAAGATGAATCCCATCGATGGTGCATAGAGGGTATCAAATATAAAGCTTCAAGTTAATGATATGTGTGGCCTGTAATTTGAACTTGCTAGCACTTTATGCTTGGCTGGTGAACTTGCTAGCACTTTATGCTTGGCTGGTGAACTCCCTGTGCCCTGTGCCACCAAGTCACCAGCAGGAACCTTCTGGGGAACCTAAGAACCAGCTGGGTGACTGTTGCCGGCTCTCAGGCTTCTTGGTGCTGTTGCTGCAACACCCGCTGTGATGACAGTCTGCTCAGACAGCAGTGCTATTGGGAACTCCATAAAGTGCCACTGATTAATAGTCACACGATGCTTCGGTCACCAAAAGTGCACACCTGGGGTGTATCCCGGACCCAAATTCACCTGAAAGACTTCACAAGGACTTCAGGGTTTTGAATAATGTGATACATAAAGGTCCTGCATTCTTGAAATTCACAATACAAGCAACGCTTGTTTCTGTYGACAATAATAAAGTTGTTTGTCATAGAGCTTTCTTTGTGTGCGAAATATGGAGAAAACCATGACTCCCTCCCATTTTTCCAAACTTTCAAAGTTTAAGCCAAGACACAAAGGTAAGATTACAAATTCAGGCAACTCAGGAGGGTAAATGCAGTTTATCAGGAAGGTTTTCACAGCTCATGCACATCTCCTTTGTTTCATCTGGTTCCTTCTATCTGTAGCAAAATGGCAGTGAAGACTGATGGTCAAGACTTTGCATTTTACCTGAAACAGAGGAATTAGATAAGAATGTCAATAAAAGCATTAACTGGAATGTCAATAAAAGCATTAATTGATCTTTTAAATACTTCTGTATTTTTTTCTCTCTTTATAATCTTACAATCTGAGAAAAGCCTGCTAGAAGACCAGAACCTGTTATATAAAATAACAACAAATCAGAAGAAGTTTTGGTATGACGCACTGCTGTTGCTCTGCTATCAACCAGGTACGTTGGTATGATGTAGACAGACTTACTGGGGTCATCTGCATCACCCTTCAGCACAGAAACTGGAGAACAGTTTTAGGAACAAACTCGGACTAGTCTGAGGTACTGTAAGGGCTGGCTTGAATTCATGCAGGGCAGGACACAAGCAMAGATACCTTTGTACAATTCTTTCGGATTTGAAGGGGATGCTTTTTCCTGATAGATGAACCTTCTTCTATCAATGGTGAATGTTTTCAGTCTTGTGTATTTAATTCCTGAAAGTTTCATTCTTTTCAGATTTTTTTTTTTGCTACAAAACAGTGAAGCACAGAACAACCAGAATACTTCATCAGCTGCGCTTTAGAGTTTATTTCATTCATGGGATAGTTCTTCTGTTCTAAAAATGCGGGTGTATATGTGAGTTGCTGTTTTCATTTGCTGTTTGCTATTAGTAGTCTGTGCATGGAGGCCTCTGTCCTCACTGAAGCCAGGGACAAAGCTCCCATTGACCTCAGTGTTGCAGGATCAAACCCTTAGTCTCTAGCATGTTGTAAAAACGGCTGGTATCTCAGCCAATTTTAATAAGCCTGCCTATAGTTGTCATTTGTTTAGCCTAAAAATTAACTTAGCAATCACAGCTAAAATTACATGGCAGACAATTGATGCATACAAGTACTTCATACCGAGTCATCAAAGGTCTTATGATACTCTCAGACTTTATTAACACTTAAGCAAGAGATTCCAAAATTTGATAAAGAGTAAAATTTTTAGATAGGAAGATCAGTTCTGGTGGAGGGGCAAGATTTGTATTTGTTAAGCTCCATTTTTTTTTGTGTTACAATTCCTTTTCTTCTTTGAATAGCTGGATGTAGTTGACTTCTTTGTAAAACCATTTATTTCGTGCATTTGTTCTCATGAATTGTTCCAACATCTGTCTCTTTTAACAAGCCTGTCAGCTGAGACACAGATAAGGTGATCATTTTTTGTTGTCAATTAGATAGTTAAAATACAGCAGAGATAACCTAAAACCAAAATGTGACAGTTTAAATATCTCAGTGTTTTGAGAGTTGGGAAATCAGAAGGATTTTGAATAGTTCACCCGAGATTTAAAAAATACTCCTATCCTAGAAGTGGATTTTGCCACTAACATCCTTTTTAAGTGATATTATTGAAGTTTATGTGAAGTTTTGCTGTGGTATGACTGATGTAAGAAATAAAGGCATTGCTCATGTGTTTTGGCATAAGGAACACAATAAATAAAAATGGTTACGAGATCAAATATATATACGGGTGTTTTCTTACGGAAGTGAAAAAAGCTATGAGTAATTTGGATCTTTAGCATTTTTATGACAACTCCCTCCTGTGCACCCTCCTCCCAGCAGTGTCATGTTTATTTTGGGATGGAGCAAAGACCATTAACAGAGCAATATGGGCTATTATTAAAAAAAAAAAAAACCTCTGTTGTGCAGTTCAAGCTTGTATTATCACAAGGAGGAACCTATCAGAGACAGAARATCTCATATTCCAGGACACACTAGCATATATTCTTTTGTAAAATTCTTAACAAGTCTACTGCAGGTAATGTGCTGCAGCTTCATATCTTATCATTACTCAAATTATGGATATKTTGGAGATAATCTGAATCTCCACCTGAAACAAAGTTGTTCTTCYTTCTCAGGAAAGCTCAGTTATTCCAGTGGATGTGCACCCTGAGGGATATAGCACRTATTCATTTGCTGTATTCTTTTACCTTTATAGGAGTATGCAAAATAATTGGCTAGTACCTGACATTTACAGTATTGTATTCTATTTGCTGTCTTGTATTAGTTTACTCTGCTATATGTTCAAAAAAATAATACACTCCTTTGCAAAAGATAAGATTAAAAAAGAGAAAAAAAAGCTGGTCTTATAAAGACGAGATAAATGAGATAAAAAAAAGCAAAGCTTTGTTCACAGCAATCTGCTGAAACCTGGATTGGAATCATTAGCTCACTCTTCTAAGGTCACAAGATTGTCAATCTGTGACATAAATTTCAATTAATATAGACAGTGTCTCAGCATTGAAGTAGTGGTGGACTTGAACGGAATCCAAGTTGGATGAAAAGCTCCTTACCAATAACGGCAAATAGGGATTTTCCTGCAAGTGCAAGTTGAAGCACAAAGTAACATTCCTTCAGAGCACGGAGCAAACACTTCATCCTGCTGCTGATTCTCTGTGCTGAATTGGTGAATATTTAAAGATAATGGCTGTGAAATGCTTCCAGTTCATCTAGCTACAGAGACAACCTCCTGAGAGACCCAAAGGTAAAAAAAAAAATAAAGAACTTCATGCAATTTATAACATTATCTACAGAAATAAAAATTCAGGACCATTTCTGAAAATGAATCTTGAGAGTTGGCCTTATACCTTTTCCAGGCAAACTAAGCAGTCCCATTGACTTCAGTGCCTTTATTTTTCTTAAACTTACTTGGGCAAAGCATTAGTGCTGTTAAGGTGRCTTTCACCAGTTTAAGCTGGATTAATGGTACAGCAGATATTTATCACAAACTAATTTTAGTTGGAAGGGACCTCTGGAGACCTTCTAGTGCAACCCCCTACTCAAAGCTGCTCCAGCTAGATGGGTTGCTCCACTCTTTGTCCACCTGAGTTTTCAATTCCTCCAAGGATGGAGATTSCGCAGCACCTGTGGTATCTACACCAGTGCTTGAGCGTGCACCCCACAATCYTTCCTTTTCTCAATTCAGAATTTGCTAATTGGAATTTCCTGTGTTATAACACAGGAAATAACATTCCTGTGTGTTGTTCCTTGTCTTATTACTGCGAACCTYGGAGAAGAGTCTGGCTCTGTCTTCTCTATATCCTTTTGTTAGGTAAATGAAGACAGCAACAGTCTCCCCATGGAAACTATTGTATAATACAAAAAATRTTTAGATATATATTTTAGATTTTGGTACTTATTTAGGCCAATTTATATCCTGTTTTCAATTACCAGAAATGGACTGATGGAGAACACCCCCAGCACGTCCAGTCCTGCGACTGGCTGGGCAAGCATGCCGCTCCGATTCACCTCTCCAACACCCAGGGATTGTCTGAAACGAATAATAAGGTCAGCTCTCTCTTTTCCTTTATTGTTGGAATGGAAGTGAGTATCTAACCACTATATTGCCCTACTTCTTTATCTTCTTAAAACACATACTGTCTGGCAGGRCTACTACCAATAACACATTGCTTTAGTAAATTTACATAGAGAAAATAAGTCACAGTATGATATGCTCTTAGAGCTTCTTACATAATATATTCATTAAAATGCCAACCACGGGGCTCTGCTAAGAACCAGTTCAGACCATGATCAGCTTCTCAGGCCACGTTCACTTTTTGACTTTTTGCCTGAGAAATTCCACACGTTCACATGCTTGATTATGCAATTATTTTCTTGAGTTCATTAAAAAACACCGCTCATGATCAGTTTATGGCACTAAAGCTGATTTTCCTCATAATTTATGTTTCAATAGTGAAATATTTATCACCAGAAACATTTTTTTTTCCTTAAAAACCATTGTTTATATGAAGATTGCCTGATGCTTTGTGTTTTGCTGTGGGAAGGCCAGCAGAGGGTGCTGAGTTAGTGATCAAGCCCCATTCCTGGATTTGTATYGGAATACACTGATAATATGAGTGTACAAAGGAAGTAAACAGGAATGTTACATTAATTTAGTGCTCTGTTAAAAAAACGGCATGAAAATTAAGGGGAAACTAACTGGCTAGAAAAGATGCACCTGTCCAAAGAGTATTATACTCTTAATAACAAAGAAAATACTAGATAATAGATAGAAATATATATAGACAGAAATAGGTAGAAATAGATAGAAAAAAAAAAGTAATAATTTGAACCTGTAATAATTTGGGGACTGTGTAAGATTTCTGATACCTGATTCTGTCCTAGGCTAGCAGCTTCTAAAGGACTGGATCCCTGGTAAGGTGATGGAGGGAAAGAAAATCTTTCCATTCAGGATTCAGAGCAGTATCCTAATTGATGTTCCCTCCTCACCCCCACAGTGGAGTTTATTTCTGTTGACAATAATAGGCCATTCAAGTTGCCAAATCTCCTCTAAATCAACTTATTTTTAGATACCACCTTCTTGTCCTACACCTGTGCTTCTTTTAATAGCAAATGTTGCCCAGAGGAAGTTTTCACTAGTTCCTTGCATGAGTTGTCCTCTCAGTGCTAGTGCCAAGAGAGAGCTCACATGGAGACAAATCAGACAATTTTTTTTTTTTTTTTTTATGTATTACAACAGATTTAAATTGAATGAATATTGTTAGACATTTTTATAGACCTGGGAATGGCTGCAAACATCTTTCCATTGACCTGGGTGACCTTGAAATCCAGGCCAGGACAACACATAGAACAGGGATCTAAGAATCAGAATGTAAAGAGTGACAACAATTTCTTCTTCACCATCACAAGGGATTTATCAATCATATCAATAAAACAGGAAAGTTTTTTTTTAAGAGAAAGATTATATGAAATATATGCTTTTTTTTCTCTCAGATATGATATATTCATAGGACATGTATGTTCATATATGATCTAGCCTTTGCCTATAGTTAGTTCTGTAAGTCTTTCAGGTATTTGTGTCTTGACTCCTACTAATATTTTGTGTAAACAATCATGAAGAATTACATAGCAGTACTGTCACATCAGCAAGATTGCGCTGTCAGATGAAATTTTCTTCAATACACCTGGCAGGTTCTTTATTTTTGGCATTTATATAAACACAGGTGGTTTAGTCATACCCTTAATGTAAACAAAAGACAGTATGTTATCAAACCAAATGGATAATATGACTTAAATACTCTAGGTTCTGTCACACCATAGTAAACAAACCTTATCTTCATATAAATTTCCCATCTCTTGCCAAAAAAAAAAAAAAAAAAAACCCAAAAAATAACAACAACAACAAAAAAAGGAAAACAGGAGTTTTTGTGGATTTCTCTTTTAAATTGCTCTGGCTAAAAGTGCTTTTCATGCCAATAAACAGAGAAGTTGAAACGTTGTCTGAAGGAATAAGCAGAGCTCAGGTGGTCAATGTTGATTTAAAACTTAACTTTAAAATAAATTTTGCCCTTATGGAAAGGACCTCCATAAAACATGTGGAACACTTAAGACTCACTTAAATCTCCCATTAGGGCTTAGAGGGAGATCTGATGCGCAGGAGCTTTCTGACTGGAGGCCAACATTGTCCCTTAAAAAGCAACATGCTTCTTTTAAGCAGGAGTTAGTGTAGGTGTCACTAAAAGCATTGAAAGCACTTTGCAAGCCAAAGCAAAGCCAAGCAGTCTATAATATCATTGAAGTTATGGATGTCATGGGAAGTCATGGGTGTAAAACTTGGAAGAAGAGCAGGGTCAAGTGGAGCTGCAAGCGGCTGGGATTACTGCAGTTTTACAGCCAGAAACACCTCCATCACACTGGGCAGAGAGCAGAAAAGTGCTGGAGCTTTTTATCTTAATAAAATCCATCCCAAGAGAGGCTACAAAAGTCCATGGCCAAGAGTCATCTCCCTTTGTGTTTGTAGATGCCTCCTGTATTTGTTCTGGCTGGCTCTCCAGCAACTGTCTTGCCATTGTGTATTTTTATATCACTATTCTGTATTTCTCGGTGATGCTCTGTTGTCAGGGGTTTTGTTTACCTTTTTTTTAGCTCTCCTAGCTATACTTCTGCTAGTAAATAAGACACCCTATGGACTTTTCCTTGAGGCCAACTGGTCTGTCCTGGCTCGTGTCTGTAACCAAATGCCTTAGGAGAGTGTGCTCTGGCATGGACCAAAACCAGACTGTGAACCAGGGTGAGAGTTTAAAAGCAAAGGTGACCACGGGCCAGCACAAGAGCCCATGCCTTGGCCCTGCGTCATTTACTGCTCTAGGTGTAGCTTAGTTTGGAATAAAAGTGACTTTGTTTATTTACYTTTTATCGCTCGGGAAGGCAGGATCATCACATCAGAACAGTTTCATTCACTGCTTTCAAAATAGATAGAAGACATCAATTTACCCTATTTCAATTTACCCTRTTTAGAGCTGCCTTACATTTACAAAGCCAAGGTTTAAACAGATGTGAGCACTCACTGAAAAAATTAATGAATAGCCTGAAATGAAATGGATGCAAGGAGAAAGTGAAAGGAAGGAGAATTTGAATGAAGCAAGATGGGCAGACCTCCTTCCATCCTCTCTCTTTAAACAGCCCAAAGAAAGGAGGCAGGGAAACGGTGCTAACCATAAAAAAAAAAAAAACATGAAGATTGAGCAACATGCTGAAAGCAGAAATAAGAAGAGATTAGGGCAGCAGGAATGCAGGGGTTTAAGGGGTTTAATACTCTGAGAGTCTAACAAGAAGCTAATTCTGATGCAGAGAACTCCTGCTCTTTAAAGCAGTAGGAAAAAAATCACTGATGTAGAGAGGACAGAATTGCACCATGTCTAAACACATCCATGCCTAAACAAAATGATCCCTCTGCATTGAAAAGGTTTTGAATGGGTGTCTGTTACTTAGTAAATTTTTCTTTATCCAATAAATTTTATTATGGAAGAGAGACCATTTTCTTAAATAAAATTTTTGTAGTTAAAAGAGATATAAAATAAAAACTACAGAAAGTAAATATCCACTGTCTAACCAGACAGGTTTATGTAAGACATCTTTTTGGTTACATTTATGTGGGGCTGTCTTTGTATGTTTGCGTGTCTCCTCTTCAAGCAACACATGGCACAGGTAGCCCTAAAGCGTGAGCACTGAGTCAAAATTGGCCTTACTTCATTTGCACTCATTTTCTGATAGGCTCACTCTAAAATTTCATTTTCCTAATCTAAACAAAGAGCTTTTCTCCTTAGAAGCTGTTCTGTTGCACTCAAACTGGAAGAGGAAATACAGGAGAAGGGAATGCAGAGCTGCTCTACTTACCAGCTATTCATTTTAATGTTCCTGTATCTCCATAAATAATTTAGTGAAAGAAGAGAATAAATTTTTCAAATTTATATTTTACACAGACACTGAGATAATCTCARCAAATTGCACCAGAGTTTTATTTACCACAATGTGGATCAAAGAAATTGCATCACAAATCATTGGAAAATAACTGTGTCTTCACAGTGTTATCCCCAGGGCTGGCATCAAGTCATCGGAGGCCCCCTCGTGAACATTCGAAGAGGAAGCTCTTCACCCATAAATTCACAAAAACTTATTTTATACTGCAGTTCTCTTCATAAAAGTGCTGGGTAGTCAGACCTGCCAGAATCTGGTTGATTCAGGTTCAGTGAAAAGAGAAAAACAGAAGTCTTCAAACGTGCTTGTGTAACTTAGATCAGGGAAAGGTCGGAAAAAATGGCAAATTTTTTGGCAAAGCTGGAGCCAAGAAAAGATGGAGCCATTGCCCACACAAAGCAGGAGGCCTGAGCACGCTCCTCCCTAAGCCCTGCCTATCTGCATGGGTATCACTTGCACACCCCATCCTTAACCATCCAACCTACATTTCAGTGTTTACAGTTCACTGTATGCAACCAGTACCTATTGGYGACCAGCTCTGCCCTAGTTTTTCCATTCCTGAGTTTCCAGCTGTAATGGAACAGAGAAACACAGGTAACAAACTGGTAAAGGGTTCGCTAAAGGTACTTGAGCAGAACACAATATACACGCTACGGTCTTCTGAATTTTAGACCACTTTTATTTAGGTAGTTACATCATGGATTGAAGAACTCAAGTCTAGCAAGGTGTTTAAAATAATACTTTTGTCCTAGGCTAAAATTATTTGTTTCAGAAGTATAACCAACTTCTAGCTCTTTCTTGTTAACAYGTGTAAAACCTTGTCAAATCACACGAAACTAAGGAACGTGTGTGTATAACCTACTGCTGCAAAACTAATTCTTAAAAATAACAGTTTTTAAAAACTGTTAGTTTTCTATTACAGTATTCTAGTATTCTATTACAGAACTACCTTCAAAAAAATATTCAGCATGCAGTTGCAGAACATGTCCTGTTGTAACCAATGAGATGTGAGCACATGCATATTGTTCAAAACATATACAAATGTTTTGCTGTGTATAGATTATAGTCTGTGTACAAAACAGAGGTTTAATTGCCTTGCTAAATTAGGGATTAGATAATATCCATCCATACCTCCCTGTAATGTGATGTGCTCTTTGCAGTATGCACAYTGGTACAACGCAGTTATTGCAGAATACAGCTGCAATGCAAAAATAAAACTGTTCACGTGCCTTAAAAGTGTTAGTTTTGTGRGCAGATAAACCTCTCTTGCATCTTTTTGACTGTTGAATACATTACTCTGAATTGTGCTCTTATAAATTTTAACTGTAGACACTGCACATAGAAAAAGCTGSTTAGATGCTAACAAAAAGCCACATCAAAACTACTCCAGTTGCAATCAGAAAGCTGAAGAGAACCACTAGAGTTCCACTTTTACACTCTACTGTCACATTTTGCTTCTAATAATAATATTCATTCATCATTCATTAATAGGGCACCCTTGAGAGTTACTATCATTGCGCTTGTGCATGAGGTCTTCTTCATATGGCACAACGGCTGAATCAAACACACAGGGACAGCAGTCTAATCAAATACTTAATTCTGCTTCATTTCTTTGGAGACAGAAGGTATCTTATCTTGCTTTTATTTACATTCTTTTAAGTATATCAACATAATTTGTGTAACCGTAGGAATAATGCATCCTATCYGTTATGTTCTGAGTTTAATTGATCTGTTATTTGCTGCCACAGAGTCAACAAGGGAACCTCAGCAGGGTTCACAGCAGGGCTGTGACCTCCCGTTTTAGTTACCAGCTCTTGTTTTATTTCCAGAGCTCTGTGCATGAGCTTCCCATTGGTCCCGGCACTTCCCTACCACAGTTATGCACTTTGTATAGATATTAGACTGTGTTTGCCGAGCCCTCTGTGTAAATCACTGCACAAACTGCAACAGAGCTGTCGTTTGCTCTGCTCATGTTCAGGCTGACTTCGGCTGATGGAGTCTTTAATCCTCAATTACATCTATTTTTAACTGTTAATAGTGATGTTTGTTCAGAGAGTGAAAATGTAGTAATAACGGCTTGTTCAGAAAATGAAATTAGTCTCCCCTGTAGAAAGTAAGTTCAGGCGTTACAAAGAGAAGTATTTTTGAATTTAGGTATTGGTGAAATCCAAAGGTTTTGTTATGATGTGATCCTTCAGAGGACGTTTCAGTTTGCTTGGGCACTTTGTGACGTAGCTCTTCTCTAAGCAGCTGCCAACTCTGAAGCAAGAAACAGCATGTGTTGCTGCCCATGCTCAACACTGAACTTCGAGCAAGCAAAGCCAGACCGCTGCTGACCATCATGATGAGACCAGAAGCTGATGACCCTCTACGTCCATCCATCTTTTTTTCCAGTTGCTTTAGGGTGAGAAGTCAACAACGCCTAGCACCATTCAGATGGTTATGGCAACCAGGTGTAAAAGCTTCCTTCAGCCACCCCCAAAGGCCTGCTTCTGTTCTCAAACAGTGTGAGCAGTTAGTTGGTAAGGACTGAGATGGAGGCAGAGTGGAGGTGCTGTTAACAGAAACCCAGTATGTTGGCTGAGCATGGGCTTCCCTGCCATTTCCCCTTGGTTTTGGGGTCAGGTTTTGACTGATAGGGGATGTCTGGAAAGGCTGTTTTTATGTCAGCAGCTTCCCCTGCCCTCCCTACTGCCTGGGCTGATGGAAATCTCTGCTAGGAACAACAGTGTCCGGAGCAGTGTCCGGAGTTCAGGTCAGGCTGTCACTGCGTTTTGCCTCGGGAAAACACTGTTTTGTTTCAGAAGGTGCAAATGTTGTAGTGGTTTCAAGAGTTGATCCACCAATATCTGTGGTCATCCACGGAGCTGGGAATGACCCAGCACTGTGACCCCGCGCTATCCCTGATGGATCCAGTGGAGAGGGGTCAGGAATCGCTATGGATCCCCCTTTCCAGTACCCCTTCCTCTGGGCACAGGAGCCTTTGAAACGCTTGGATAGCGGGGGGATGTCTGCAAGCTGCATGTGGCAGCACCCTGGAGTCTCTACCTACRTAATCTAGAAACCGGCAGCAAAAAACTGGGCGCAAGGGACCCCATTTCCAGCAGTCTCTGGGCTCCTTGCACTGCTGGAGCTTAATTAAACCGCAGGGCCGTGGCGGGGCCACCCGCTCGGCCATGGCCACGCCACAGCACGAGAGTGGCAGTTTGGGTGCCTGGTGGGGACACAACATGTCCCCCACGCCTGGCCTGGGACCCCCGGCCAGGGGGCATCGCGGGGCGCTTCATGGGGCCTGAGGGAGCTGCCCTGGGTACCGAGGGGACCTGCGAGGCCGGGGCGCCCTCGGGGCCGCCCTGGCGGCGGGAGGCGGCGATGGAGGGCGGGGAAGGGGCCGGGCGGCCATGGCGGCGGCGCCTCCCGCGCCGCATATAGGCGCGCGGCGGGGCGGGCGGCGGCGGCCATGGCGGGGGTGTGCGCGCTGGTGGCGGCCGCGGCGCTCGTGGCGCTCGTGGCGCTGCTGCTGCGCTGGCGGCGGGCGGACGGCGACCTCACGCTGCTGTGGGCCGAGTGGCGGGGCAGGAGGCCAGGTAAGGGCGGCGCTGCCCGCGGGGMCGCCGCGCCTGTTGGGGGGTATGGGGGGCCGCCGGGCTCCAGCCGCGGCTCCTCTGAGGAGAAACCGCGAAAAATCCGCCCATCTGCAACCCCGAGACATCYTTTGCCTGCCCCTGTGCCCTGCCAGTGTGGTGTGCGGTGCCTGGCGCTGCAGCGCGCTGCTCCCAAAAGTGGTGCTGGCACCTGTTGAATCCAGAATTAAGGCTGTGGAAAACACCCTCTGGACTCGTGCAGCCCCAGAACTGGCTGGTGTCCCGCTCCTGGGAGCTGAGAGAAGGGAGGCCCCGTGATGGGTGACAGATGAGTAAGAGGCACATGGGTGGGTGAGACAGGAGGGTGCTTGGGTGGCCCGGAGCTGTCGCCTCCCCTCCTTTGGACCCCTTTGGATCCGCTGCCTGCTTCTCTCAGGGTGCCAGCAGGCCTTGGAGCTGCTTCCTGCCTGTGTTCCTCCGCAAACCCCTTCCCAAAGCTCATCCTTGGGGCGGCCTCCTCCTGGCGCCTCCTTGGGAAGCAAGTTGTGGTCTGTTTAACTCGCGTTTTGCTGAGCTTGGCCTCATCCCGCCGAGCTCCGTGCCRCAAATGGGAGCACTAACCTCAGGGTAAATGGGTGTCTGCTTCCGAGAACTGTTCCCCAAAGGGCACAGGGGAGCAGCACGGTGCCAACGTGCTGCMCACGCTTGTATTCCCAGTAATGTGTTGTTTTACATGCCTGTAGACACCAAGGTTCGGCAAAATCACGTCGGAGAGTGACTTTCACTTCTGCATGTGCCCRCCTCTGTGATCTGGCTGTGCTGCTGCCCAGCCTAATGAAGATCTTCAAGGGCAGTAGTTTTAACGGCTTAATAGAGCCTTTTGAGCCAAAAGTTTCTGCATACGTGCAGATAGATATATGCTCTGGGATAGTATATGCAGAAATTTATGCCATATATATATATTTAGCATATATACTGTAAGTTTCTGCACATCTCACCTTGGAGTGGGGTGTACCAGGTGGCTCATGCAGGTGTTTGAGCTGAAAGTTTCAAAAAGTGCCCGCCTGTGAAATGGAGAACACCAAAGTGTGCGCAAGGGGTGAAAGTGCAGGAAATACCCCATTTAAATCTGTAGGAGCAATCCTGTCACCATCTGTGTGCAGGTTTCGCACTGCATAGCAGCTCCCATAGGAGAGTGTGCATGTGGACATGGACTTTGGCAAGATCGCTGAAGTGTCAAGGTAGAGAAACAAGATAAACCTCGACAAACACAACCCAAATTTAAGCTTTGCCCTTTCAAGCGATCTGTGTGYGCAGCCCAGGGAGCTTGAGCAACCCTCAGATGGACAGAGCTTTACTTGAATGTAACCTTCAGGCTCCCTGGAAGCCTGGAAATCTTTTACCTGCTCGCCAAAAATTCCTCCATAATGGCAGTAATAAAGATTTCTTTCTAACATCACTCTTTCAAATATTATACACAAAGTGAGCCAGGAATTTGTCCTTCTGCAATTCTCTGAGGAGATGAAGGAATTTCCTGGTTAAAAGAACCCCAGCCTCAATGCTTGCAATTAACTGAAACGTGTAGCAAAGGCAGTAGCAGATAGGTGGCATTTTGCTGATTACGCTGCCATGTACATGTACACGAGACACAAACCCTCTAGAGATTGTAACCTTTGGGAAAACAGAAGGGACAAAKGCTAAAAAAAATTGTTTCTTCAAATAAGTTTTCCTTCTCTTCTTCCTCCCCTTATTGGTAGTGTCTGTAATGTGGTTCATGCAGGTATCTCTAGGKAAGTAATGCACGGATGACACGGAGAAAAGCTTTGTTTAAAGCTGACATGGAGCACTATTGCTGTGCAACAGCTTCTACAGCCTTAGCATGGATTTCTGTGGACATTCTTGCAGAAAACTTATTTATCAGAAAACACTCATGTGTTGTGTTGCAGAACAAGCTTGCTCTGCAAGCTGTACTTACAGATAATGGCCGGAATACTTAGGAATTATGGCTTAATAGCTATAATAGAGGTAAGACTGGTTCCATATCAGTGGTTCACACCTATAGTGAAGGTTGTGGCATTTGTCCATGGCAGACACCAAATTGTTTTCCCATGTTTTAAATGCTTATGTGATTGGGAAGCAAAAGTTACTGGGTGCTGGGTGACTTTCACTGTGGATTGTGTCTCACTTCAGCTGAGCAGCAGCCMTTCAGCCAGGGTAGCAGGATTGACCCAAGGAGGGTGTTTTTGCTTAGRTATCCATGTGAAGGCTCTTTAAACAGTGTGATCCCTTGTAGGGGGAGCAGCGGGTGCTCGGCTCCAAAATTCCTTTTTTTTTTTTTTTTTTCTCCCTGTTAATTAAATAGCCATCTATAGGAACTATATGATCATAGAGAAAACTCTAAAATGAAGCTGAACTGCAGAAACGTTTTTTGGATTACCTGCACTAGTAGTCTCTTCATCCTCTCATTAGTTACGCCTTGTAATGCAAAAGTTAATGGTTAGTAATAATGTTTTCCACTTTTATTTCTTTTAAGTTTAAAAATTAACTGTACCATGTTATTTCCAGTAGCAGCAGGACATTGATTCTAGAACCAGCTAGTTTGGGGCCTGTTCTACAGCAGTATTTGAGCTAGGCTTTGCATCATGTTAACTACCAGTAGCGCAGTGTTTGGCAGCTCTCAGCACCGAAGAATGGGTGGAAAACTTTCCTTATCTCAGTTAATTATTCTATCCATGGAACAAGATCCTGACTAACTGCAGTGAGACAGTCCAAGGCAGGTTTGAAAGCAGAAGCAATGGTGGAAGGAGGTGAATTTCTTCTGAATAACAAGAGATGTGTGGCAGGCGGGGATGAGGTTTGCCCTTGCTGGGAGAACAGTTTCTCCTGTCCTTGTAGTGTTTGTAAACACAGCATTTTGGCCCCCCAGATTTAACCTGAGAGATGAACCTCTGTATTCCTTGATTGAGGATGAAAATCATTTAAGGACACAGTCTTTTAGTGTAATTATTAATAAAATAGCTGTTCCTACTCCTTCAGTAACACTGATTCTTCCCACTCCCACGTTAACTTCAAAATGCACCTCTTGTTTTTTTGGAAATGGGCTTTGTTATGAGAAAGTAAAGTGGTTGGTTGTTTTTCTTAGTTTTAGGAGGGATTTCTCTTTGCTGAAAAGTTTGATAAACTAAACGAACAGATGAGTTAACAGCATTTTTTATCCAGCTCATTTTATGGCCTTTTTCAGAATAGACTGGCTTGAAGTCTGAATTTGACTCTTCTTTAGTTCTAAGTTTAGTTCTGAGACATGAGTCCTATGTGGCCAGAAATTGTTGGAATCTTTCTCTGTGCAGACTTGATAACCGGGAGCTCCTCTCAGCAGCACCCTGAGACKGGGCTCAGGTTTTCTCTGAGGCTGCTCTGGAGAACACGTGAGTGTCAGAGATGTGCTCTGGATGCTGCTCTCTTTTTAGCTGATCATACACCCTTAAATCGTGTTCTAGACGAACGATGAGCATCTCTCTATTTTACTTGTTGATTTTTGAATATAGTTCTACCTGAAAAGCTAAGCCTTTTCCCAGCATGCAGGTGTGTGGTAGGCAGTTGGGAAAACTGCAGGGAAGGGGGAATGGGCATATGAACAAAGGAATAAAAGGAATAAGATAACATATTTACTAGAAGCTAAAGCAACACACCTGGGCAGGTGATAGGGGCGTATAGCAGAGGCACTCAAGGGCTTACACAGTGGGAACTCTGTTTACGGTACTTAGAAAAGCAAAGTATTTGGCTTGCATTAGGTTCAAAACCAAGTGGATGAACATTCCTGTGTTCAGGGAATTTTCTTCAGGCTGCAATTACTGCATTTTGGGGGTTTGGGGGTTGTCTATATAGCAGGTGTTTTCTGTCACTTCTCCAAGTTCTTTCTTTTTCTCCTAAGCTCTTGTTGAGGTCAGTGAAAATGCTGTGTGTGGATGGTCCGCAGAAATGCAGTCAATCTTCGTCCACCACGGAGAGATAATCAGTGTTTACTCAGATTAGCCTTGGACCAAAGTTCAAGTGACAACAGAGCAGCACCGGACAATTTCACAACTGCACCTGACTTAAAAATAAAGAAATGTGGATCTTTTTTTTTTTTTTTAGTAAAAGTAGAGTACATTTGCTACAAACACTATCAAGGGGTGAACCCACAATGGCTTGATTATGATTTCTAGTATTGGTGATGGGTGACCTGTTGCTTTGATTCTTTTGACAGARAATGAACTGCCTGGCAAAGTTGTCTGGGTGACGGGAGCTTCGAGTGGAATCGGAGAGGAACTGGCTTATCAGCTGGCCAGGATAGGAGCCCTGCTTGCCATCTCGGCGAGGAGAGAGGACGAGCTGCAGAGAGTGAAGAAGAAATGCCTCGGTGAGTATAAACTACCTCGTGCAAGCCCTCTTGCTGCGAGGGAGTTGCCAGAGAAATACTAACCCACACGTCATGGTAATAAACGTCATGAGAGAAGTAAATTTTATGTGTAGCTTCACTGTGGCTTTGAAGCGAGTGGTTTCTCCTCTGAAGCAAGAAGCTTTTGGGAAGACGGGCACTACGAGTTCCTGAACATACCAGTGATATCTAAAAATCTCATTACACAATTGCTAGTGGTTTCAAAAGTCACTAGATTTAAAAAAAAAAAAAAAAAACCACAGGAACAAAGAGAGGAATTTTTTTTTTTTTAGAAAAAGATCATGTAACTACATGCTACTCATGGAAAACATCTTCCTTCATGTTTGTGCATATTGCAGTCTGACCAGCTGCCAAGAAATCACCCTTTTGGAAAAGGAATAAATAAAAATGTTCAGAAAAAGTTGTTCTGATGGATTGTGAAGTGGGTGATGTGCTGCAGATCAAGAAGAATGAATATGAGGCAGGATATTTAACTATTCCAGTTACCTTTCATATGCTTGCTGAATCTAGCTCTGACTCTTCCTCCTGCTGCCCTGCCTTCTTTTCCTCCTCCCTGCCACCATTTTCWGGCTTGGCAGGGAGAGGGAGGCAATTTTTGTGTGTTACGGATAGAGGGCTGTTTTGAGCGTGTTTTTAGAAATCTAAACTTAAAAACACACAATTTCTTATTTCCATTTTCTTACGCTTCAAAAAAGCTTCAATACATACTTTTTTCCAAAGGGGATAGAGGGACTTAAATTGACAGCGTGGTTAAGGGGTGAAAAYCAACAAATTTCCAAGGCTGCATGATGCAATGGTTCGTGGCAGTGAACGTGTGTCCCTGGGTTGGCGTCTGCAGCAGTTTGTCCTTATTACAAAACTTTGACCACACAGGAGAGGAGCCCTAATCCTGGGTGTCCCCTCTCGGGCCCCGTTTGAGTGCAATGTTCTAAGGAATATTCCGAAAGATCATCACAACTGATATGAGGCAAGAGGGTGAATTTACCTAAGGTAAATTCTGCTTTTGCCAATTTGAAGCCTCCCCCCGCCACATGTTTTATCTGTTATATATTAGCTCTAAGGTCTTATGAAGSAATGCTTTCTGCAAAGCTCTGCTCTGGCTTTTTCTTTTAGCTATTGGCTAGATTAGTAGGAATATTGGAAGCTCTTCAGTGACATCCTTTTCTTTTGTTTGGATATATGACCTAGCCAGTACTGCTGTGGTTCTGCCACATCTTTAGCTGATATAAATCAGTGCAGCTCCTTAAAACCACACTTTGTTTTCTTGTCCTGCTGAGAGATYCAGCTGCCTCCTTAGATATCTATTCAAGTGCTTAATAGCCCACGTTAGATGTGAGGGGAAAAATAGTTGTATTTGGAATGTCCCTTGCTGCAATTTGTGCATTTTGCCGTGAACTTCAGAGAAGATGGGCTCATTTTTTTTTCCATAGCTAGTCTTTAAGAAGTGAAGGACAGCAATTGGTGCCACTTCCCCTCCTCTCAAGGCTGCCTGAGGTCAGCTCCAGGCTTTCATTGCTCTGTCCTGGCCCCCAGCCACCTTGGCCGCCTTGCACTGGTCTCTCCAGCCTTGTACTAGAGGGCCCCAGAAGTGACATGGGGCTCCAGCTGAGCCCCTCTGGCAGAGACCCCTGAATGGTTTTCCCAGGCCATGCTGAGCAACAACTCCCTGCTTAGGTGCAAAATTGACTTAGGTTCAACTTTTTGTTGTCCTTCCCCCATGACCTCAGTTCCTCCCTTGCAGAGCTGATGCTGGCCTGGCTTCATGCCATGATCTGGGTCATTAATGAAGATAATCGAAAGGTTTCAGCCTTAGAGGGACACCACTCGTAGCACTCACACATTGAACTTTGGAGCACTGACTGTAAGCCTTTGGGCCCAGTTTTCTGTGCATCTTTATTCACTCATCTAGCCCTTATTTCCCCCATGTAGCTACAAGGAAGCTATAGAAGATGACGGAGAAATCTATGTAGCAAGATGGACAACAGGTGATTAGGTTGGTCAGGTGGTGGTTGCCCTTGGGAGATCAATCCTGGCTGCTGGATCATCTCCATGACCTTCATATGCCAGGAAAGGGCTTTCAGGATGATTTGTTACATCGTTTTCTCTAAGACCAAGGTTGGGCTGGGTCACAGTTGCCTTCTTGCAGTTGCTGGAGGCCTTTTGCACACAGCCTTTCAAAATGGCCCTGTAGCAATTGCTGCTCTCTCAGAACTCGTGGATTCTGGAATCTGGCACCTTTTATATGTCCAGTTTGTCCCCAACTTGATTTTTCTGTGACTYTGGCAGTATCCGAGACACTGTCCTCAGAAACGTGGGTGACCTGAGGGTGGATGTTGCTAACAAAGACCAAGGCCACCTGCCAGCACCATCCCTACACAGCCATAGGCTCACTCCGTATTTGGCTTTCCTGCTCTTCCTATGGAAGCCCTTCCTGTTGCTCTTYACTTTCCTCACCAGTTCCAACTGCATCTGCGCTTGGACCTTCCTAATCCCATCCGGGCTTCTGTGGGCTTCCTGGGTAGCTTGTCCCTGTCACCCACTCTATGTTCATTTGTGTGCAAGAATAATCTGTAAGGCTCGAGTCAGATAGGCTGGATTGTGGCTATGGAATTGCCACACCTGACACCAACATGAGTTTGGCTGAATTGGGTGKCATAATTGGACCTGACGGGTTCTAACATGCTTGCTGTGGTTGCTATACACATAACAACAACTTAGATTTACATATTAAGATGAGAAGCAAAGTGCACTTGTTGAAGATGGAGACATCATTTAAGATTCGCATTAATGTATTTTTCTTCACTACTAAAATGCTGAAGGAGAGAAGCAAAGTACAGTGAAGGAGCTGTGTTAATGCCAATTCAACAGACTTCATTAACTTCTGTAGGAGAGAGAGAAAACAACATGTAAAACTTCCTCATCTGATTTTTAGGTGGCTTTTGTATTTTTCCCCAGGCCRCCTTTGCGATATGAGTTGAATTTCATCAGTAACGTTGCCACTTTTGTCTTAACAACTTTTAAAAGCAAAAAATGAGGTGGGATGGCTTCTCAGTTTGATCAAGCTCGTGTGTGCTTTAAATCTGGATAGAGGCTCTGCCAAATGAATGACAGACATTGCTGTCTATAAGTCACAGAATTGCACAGTAGTTGAGGTTGGAAGTGACCTCGGGAGGTCACATAGACCAGCCTTTATTGAAGGCTCATGTTTTGTGGAAGGGTACTGGTGCAAAATAGAAATAGAAAATAGGAGATGCTGAAGAGAATCTGAGGGGTTATCAGGAAATGGAATGGAGAGCATCGTTGAGACCGTAATGGGGAGCAAGGTGCTGCCCCATGGATACTGTGCAGCTGCCCAAAGACACAACGAAGAGGGCAGGCATGGCAGCAGCAGGGAAGGTKGGGTCTCAGCAACAGAAATGCTGTCTGAAGGGACATGGAAGTYGTTCTGTGAAGAACAAGCAAAGCCAGGATTCCTGCCCCTAGCAGAGAAGCRGCTGCGAGGGGCGGAACTGCTCTGCCCGCTGCGTGCTTTGCTGCAGGGCAGAAACCAGCTTAAATCAGCAGCCCTCATCTCCTGCTGTGCTGCTTTCCTTCTGGTTCAGTGTCGTGGCYGCGTTAGCTGGGCAGTGAGGGGCATCCACAGCAGAAACAATTCCAGCCCCAGCATGCCCCATTCCATTCCCCCTTGACATGCGGGTGTCCTGCAGAAAGCCCTTCAACCTGCATGGATTTTCCTGCTGCTTTTAAAAAGAGGCAGAAACAGGGGGAGCTGGGCGGGTGGAAAAGAGGTAGAACTGGAAAGAGTGGTAGCTTTAAACCAAACAAGGGGTTTCATACATCCAGTTGTGTAAGTACTAGTGACCTTTGAGCAGAGGCAGTTTATGGATTTAAGCAATTTACGTATTGGCCCATTATGGTGAAGACAGAGTTCAGCCTTACCTGTATGYACAGACAGGGTAATCAAAGAAGCAGGGCCGCAGGCTGGCGGGCTGAGAGCCCAGCTTGTTGATGGGGAGCAAGGACACGTAGTTGTTGCTAGCAATCAGTTTACAATAAAAAGTTAAACCACGGAAACCATGCTATATCACAGAWTCATTAAGGTTGAAAGGGACCTCTAGAGATCATCTAGTCCAACATATATCTCGCTGGGAGGGAAATAGGTTTAACATTGAGACCTTTGTTTTGTGTGAGTCATCTTCCCCAAAGCAAATCACTTTGCAAGAAATACTTTTAATGGAAAAGCCCAGTTGTTCCAAAGAGGCAGTGGTGGAAAAACGCAGCACAAAGACTTGACCTTGATGACAGCTGACTTTTATTTCAGGGGATGGATAAGTTTAAAAACTTTGAATTAAACAGAAGCTCTCTACAATAATCTAGCTTCTCCTGTATGTCTTTTTGGGGATGAACGTGCTCTTCCTATTGCCTGGAATGTCCAGGGTTGAACAGTTCTCTACAAACAAAATGTCAAAGCTGCCAATACGCTGCATCTGAATAGCCTGATAAAAAATTTTTATCAAACAATCCTGTTGCATGTTACTCCTAACTACTGCAGTTTTGGCTTTATTTATTTATTTGTATTATGATGCACAATCCTTTTCATTTAATAAAGTCAAATTTTTTTACAAGTGAAAAACAGGGTGGGGAAAGGGGGGCTTTAGTAGGAACGGGTTAGAAATGGATCCTGTGTAGGGACTGTAATGAAAACAAACCTGAATGCTTATCTTCCAACTTAATGATACAGTCTGTTGGTGTCTTTTTCCTTAGTGAAAATAAATGGGGTTTAAAAGCAAATTGAATTTCTTGTTATTGTCACATTGGTGATTTTGTGGTTTCCCATTCATTTTATGGTTGTTTTTAGAGATCAGCAACTTGGGTGATAAAGATATCCTTGTTTTGCCGCTTGACTTGACTCAGAGAAGCTCTCATGAAGCTGCAACCAACAGCGTCCTTAAGCATTTTGGCAAGGTAAGGTGCAGGTCCGAGGCTGAACTTCAGCTCCAGCCAGGTGACCTATCCCTGCATATATTCTTCTTTTGCTTTTATTCTGCCAGTAAATTCAGCAGTTTGGTCACCTTACTCAAGTTTCATAATTGAGCATACAAGAAAGGACCTGAATTCTCATCCCTTCTGCTTGTTTCTGGGCCTCAACAGGTTTTACATAGAAGCTGCAGTGAACAAATAATCCTTGGCCGTTGCCAAGAACTAAAGAAAATCAATTATTTGATGTCACTAGATGTCAGGCCCAACCGGAGCAACCCTCCAGGGTATAATTTGGCTTTAAGAGTCTATATGGAAGCCAGAACCTTTATTTTGCCATTTCAGTAATGCRTGTAGTTTGGGATTAGAGCTACCTGGGTCAAAACTGGCCATTTCTGGCACAACTGTTTCCCCACTTTGCTGCATAGTCTTCAGATGAGTAGCACGGAACACCGAGGTGCTAGAGTCAAGTCTAGCTAATTTAACCACAGTATGTGAAGCTTTGAGCTGGCCTGTTAGTCATAGCAAAACTATCAGCACTAGATTTGTTTCACCTATTATGTGCTGCACTTAGATCCCATAATTGCACACAACCCACCGTGCAGGCCCGGCACATCCAGCAGTGCTGGCTGCCATGTGGCAGAGTTACAAACAGCAGGTAGAGAAGGATTTGGGCTGCCAGGGCTGCCCCTGAGGAGCCTCCTCCGCCTTTGCTCGGCCCACTTCCCTACGTCCATCTCTTGCTGACCCAGCTCAGAATTCACCGTCCTCAACCCAGGGCGGATGTGTGAAGGAGAAAGGGGCTACCGAAATATTTTCAGTAGTTCTTACTTTACTGGCAGAGGCAGGACTAGAGGGAGTGCAKGTATTAAAGAAACCGTGTTGCATTAATTAATTAATCACTTTTATCTTTCCCGAGATTGATGTTTTGATCAACAATGGTGGACGCTCCCAGCGCTCKCTGTTTGTGGATACAAACCTGGATGTTTTCAGTGCCATAATGGAGCTTAACTACCTGGGTACAATCTCGTTAACAAAGTATGTCCTGAATCACATGATCCAAAGGCGAAAAGGGAAGATTGTCACCGTGAGCAGTGTGATGGGTATCATGGGAGCCCCTCTTGCCTCGGGGTACTGCGCCAGCAAACATGCTCTGCAGGTGAGTTACATTTTTAGAAATTAATTATGCCTTGTTATGTAATTAGCCAGCTTGTTTTAGTGCTGTAGCATCTGTTCCTTGTGGAGAACTGAGGCCTGTGCAATTTCAGGTGAGACTGCCTTTCTCTGCATAGAATAAATATAACTTAGCTGCTGAAAGTCCTTTGGAATTAATGTGCTCTGAAAATTAGTGCTTCTGACTCTAAGACTTAGGAGAGAATGTTTTTCTTTTTTTCCTCTAGCTTCTAATGTTGCCACCTCTAAATTGCCCTTGAGTTGGACTTCAGGCCCTTCAGCAAACAGTGGCACTAGAAATTCCTCACTAATATTTTTTCTTCTCAAAGCAAAAGTTGAGCCTGAGGGCTCTATAAACTGCAGGGCTGGATTTCCTGGTGTGATGCTGCTATTGGGAAGCAGAAAGAGGGAAAACAGAGAATAGGTGTTCTTTTAAATAGGAAAAAAAAGCCTTTAAAGACAGCATTTATATAGATGAAATCCTATTGAATAAACTGGAGTTACAGAGAAATATTCTGCTCTTAAATATACCTGTGTTTTTAATAGTATATCATTTGTTAAATGGGAAAACTTCCACTCCCGACCTGGCTCCACCACTTGCCCCAAGCTTAGATTCCCCTCTGCTACTTCCTATCACGTCCACACTGTGAAAATATTTATACTGTGGTTATGACTTGTGGGGAAACGTATCACGAACTGGGAATTGTAAGAAACGCCGCTTGAAAGCGGCGCTGAGGTAGCATGGGTTCCCGTGAAGGTTTCTGGCACTGAATAAACTGCAATCTTAATTAGGCCTAATCAGTGTATCCTGAAACTCCCAGTGTGAAACAGGACCACTTTGCCTCTGGCCGTGTCTTTTCACCGCTGTTTGAATTCCACATTGGCTGCATTTTGAGTTCAGGAAGCTAAAAGGCAGCTGTAGTCTGTGATTAAAATAAAAAAGGCACCTCTTAGTCCCAGCTGAATTTAAGGACGTAAACAGAATAAGTGACTTTGCTTCCCTTTTGAGGATTTAACTAACAGCAGCAGTAACAAGTGGCTGGTTCAGCAGTTATTTTGCAACCAAGACAGCAAAACCTGGACATATGAAAGAATCAAGGGGTAGAAGACAGTGATAGGTCTCTGCTAATAATGTTTTTCTTTGTTAGCAGTGGGGAGAGAAGTCCAGTTACTCTTCCTTTAGCTTTAGGAGGTTGTGGAGTTGCCCTTTAGAGGCTGGCATTTGATTTAGGTTACAAAAGCACAAAGCAGCAGCATGGACTCATTTCTCTTCCCGTATTTATTAAGTGTTTTTCAGTGAAACTAYCTTTCAGGTGTGGTGCAATTGGTCTAAACATCCGAGTTCATTGTAGGACGGGAGGAATTCACAGGTTGTTGTACAGGGAACTAAAGCGTGTTAACACCGAGAATGCGGAAGAGGAAGCTCCAAAGAAAGGGTACTGAAATTTCTGTGTTATGTAAGAATGAGCTGAAAAACAGATGTAAGCAACTCGGTTTTCCCTTACCGATGCCTAACAACAAGGCCATGCTCCAAACCTCCCTTCCTTCTTTCATTCCTGGAGCTGCAAATACTATTTTCGAGTGTTAAAGCAYGCGACTTGCCCTGCAGATTTCTAAACCAGACTCTGTCTGAGGGCCTTGTGTAAAGGTCGGTGTAGAGCTGTGGCTCGACAGGGACACCAGGGCCCAGGCAACGCTCGGAAGCTGCTGCAGTATCTGCCCGCCCGGTGCCTTCAAGCCGAGGCAGCCGGGCACAGATCCTCGGGGTGGCTCCTGCTGCTGCRGCACCCAGGCCTGGCGGGATCCTTCGGGCACCCTGCGCTCTGTGTGCGACAGTGGCCGTCGCAGAGAGGGGCTGGGACAGGGCAGAGCATCCAGGTCCTTCCCTGGTTGTCCCCCCAGTGCCTATAACCCTCCCCGCGCTACCGGATCTTCTTGAGCTGCAGATCACATCTTGGCCACCAGTGGTTAAATACGTGTTTATCTCATATAAATTCATTTAATAGATTTCTGTTGTTTATTTCAATTTATGTCTTGGAGTCTGCTGCAGCTGTGGCAGTTAATGTCATAATCCTAAATATGCCTTGTTTGAAAAAGTGCCATCTTTTTTTTTTTTTTTTTTTTTTCTTTTTAACGGCATTCGGGCATGAGTAGTGACTGAAACACTTCTGTTACAAATTAAAATTAGTTCTTGAAACAAGCACATGTTGATTTGTCCAAATTGGAATTCTTTGCAATATTTTACTGATGAAATAGCCCTTTACTTAGGTCTGGAAGGCCTGTAAGAACATGATGTAAGTCCAGGAAAGTCCAAGCCTGATGCTCTTTCTTTCCTGCTATCATGATACTTGCGGAGCTCATGTGCTGTTCAGCCAGTTCCCCACTCATGTAATTAGTGGCACGTCCAGTCTTTAGGAAATGGTGACCTTCGAAAAGCTCCCTAATCAGGGCTTGGTCTAATAAGCACATTGATTGCCCCAGACAGTAACTGCTAGTGTCCTTAAGTCCCTAATTATCAGGAGAATTTCAGAGTGTGTCTCTGTCTTGGTGGAAGGCAGTTCAGCCCGGTCTGCAGCACCTGCTGGGACTTGGTTGCTCAACTGCAGAGGCCCAGAGGTGACTAAAACGGTTCCTCTTCAGGCCTCCGAATCCGCCAGGGTTGGGAAAACTCTTCCTTACCCTCRTTTGAACAGTTCACTATTGATGGAATAACTAACGGTCACCTAGGGCACAAACCAGATGAATAGCCTGGTGTTTAGGCTAGATGGGACAAGGCTCCCTCTCCCTGCTCGGGTCAATACTGGAGRTAAAAAGCAGTGGATTCCCTGCGCCCAAAGGGCCATTCTCAACAGCTGACACACACTCTGTCCTGCCCTTGGCACCTGGGGGCTTTTTCCCTGCGCTGTGTGGATGCTGTGTTGCCTGCTGCGCTGAGCACARACTTGTCCACTAACTAGAGAAGTTTCAAGACTCTGGTTTCCTTTCTGAAGCCTCCAGAAAGGAGTGACCGGAGGGGGAACTGGTGCTGGGGTGGGAGCAGCTCACCAGCCTGCGCAGGGGCTCTGCTCTGGCACAGCAACRTGTAGAAGAGGTGCAGGGAGCTGCGATAGCCACGTCAGAGCTGCGACCTCACAGCTCTGCAGTGTTTCGCCAGCAGTTTTCCATGTAATTTTCCATGGAATGCGGGTTCCCTGCGTGCCCCCTGCACCGCCGCCCGTGTTCGATGCTGTGGAACTTAGGAGAACTTGGACCCTGTTGACTTAAAGACAAATAYTTGCAGCTTTTGCAACTAAAGCTTAACTTAGGTAGCGTGTTTATATCCTGTGTGGTCACAATTTTCAAAAATTGCAGTGAATTCAGTGTTGAACCTCCTAAAATACAAGGGTGCATCTTTGGCTCGATTGGACTTTGACTGCTCTTTTAAGTAAGAGCCAGTGCCATTTATTCTACAGGAACAGTCTAAAAGCTTTAATGTCACCACAAAGCACGATCCACCTGCAAAGAAAAGATTTCCATGATATGGGAGCTCTTAGTTTGGCAGCACTTGCACCATTTGTATTGTGTATTTGAGAGGTCCAGGACTGATTGCTTGGTGATTTATATATATAATCTCGTATTATCAACGTAGGTAAGTAAGTGCTGATAAAATGTTGAATGTGAAAAGTCAAACAAACTGGGGGGAATTGCGTTCAATGGAAACCTGTTGTGTTCAGTGTACTGGTTAAGGTGCCTTCACGTGGAAATGTGGCCCAGGAGGATCCCTTTATCACATCTTTTCGTCTAGGGCTTTTTTAATTCTCTCCGGACTGAGCTCACTGATTACCCAGAGATCAGTATTATCAACATCTGCCCAGGACCTGTCCAGTCTAAGATCATCCAAAACGTCTTTACGGAGAATCTTGCAAAGGTAAGAAGAATTTTCCCCTCCTTTTTCTCGAGGAGAGAAAGCAGCATTTCCCCTCAAAATGCTACTGTGATAAATCCAAGTTTTGCAGCAGGCACAACAGATCTCTTGTGGTTTCCTTTTTCTCCTRGCAAACATTAAGCCCATCTTCTTTCCAAGAAGCACTCGGGCACAGAATTAATGTTACAGAACTAGACTATAACACTATACGCACGTCATTCCTTGCAGTTTCAAGTCCACAGTGGACGAACGTAACGTCTGGGGGCTGTTAGGCCTCATCTCTTCCACCGTATATAACCCGTGAGTAGCAGGAGGACGGACAGAGCTGTGGGGCAGCGCGGGGAGCGGCTCGGAATGGCAGGACCGCAACAACCGCTGCAGCTGCTGCGGCGTCAGCGTGTGCTCGGCCCCGTTTGTGCACTGCCTGCTGTGCTGCCCGCGGAGCCTCCGCAGGGGCCGAGCCCGGGCACAGGCTGCACTGCCTCTTGCTGCCTGCTGGAGAGGAATAAGCAAAACCCTCCCGTTGCCCAACTGCCTGTAATACAGATGGTCTACCAAAACTGCTAGAAAAAAAAACCAACTAGGGCACATGCTGGTAGGATGTGCTAAATTCAGTGCACTTGAAGCTTCAGTCCCTGATTGTGTGTGTGTGTGTGTGTGTGTGTGTGTGTGTGTGTGTGGTGGGGGAAGAACCGCCCCCTCTGTTCAAATTCTGAAAGGCTTTTTGGCTTGCACAACTACATACTTGCCTGACATCAACACTGTTCTTTCTGAGCAACTGGGAGAAATTGCAAAACAAATTCCTTAGCGTTCTGCATGGCAAAAGACCCAGGAGGAAGATAAAATCCAGGCCAGAATTCCTTTGGCTGCAGAAAATGGAACGAATTGAGCCCTGAGCTGTTGCTAGAATAAAATGGACATAAATTCACAGGGTTGTGGCTGATGTTTGCTCAGCGATACGTGTGAGATAGGGTGTGAGATAAGGCACCGTTGCCACCGAAATGGCTTGGTGCTCTTCCCTCATTTGAACRACTGTCCCTAGAGCAGGGCTGGCAGGATTCCAGGTGCCCGGGGGTTGTCTCCAACTGTGTGAGTGACTGGGACCTGTGCTACAGGATCTGGTAGGTGGCTGGCACAGGAAGCCTCCCTCTCCCAGGGCCCGCGCCTGCAGAATGGCTCAGGGGCTCCCAGGAGGGTAAACCAGGCGTCTCCCAACCCCGTCCTGCAGCAGCAGGGCCTGCACTTCCCTGGAGAGCAGTTCAGCAGCCCCTTMGCCAAGGATGTGCTGATGGAAAGGGGCTTTATACAAGGTGAGTGCTGAGGGATGGTAGGTGCTAGGTTTTCCCAAGTATAGAGCATTGGTATAGCTAATCTATATCTGTAGATCACATAACATATATATAAAAGACAGGCTTCCCAGCCCAGTCTGGCTGGACTGGCTAATTCTCCTTGTGCACAATGGAGAAACTGGGAGGAAGATTTCGATGCGGAGAGCCTGTATGTCCCTCCTTYGCTCCCCAAAGGGCAGAGTTTGACCCCTGCTCTTCTCTCTGTGCCCTAGTCCCTCGAGAACAGCGGGGACCAGTCCCACAAGATGCGAACCGACCGCTGCGTGCGGCTCACGCTGGTCAGCACGGCCAACGACCTCAAGGAGGCCTGGGTGAGCGACAACCCCTACCTGGCCGTGTGCTACCTGTGGCAGTACGCGCCCACCTGGGCCTGGTGGCTCATGAACAAGATGGGCAAGAGGAGGATACAGAACTTCAAGAGCGGCGTGGTGAGTGTGGGCCCTGCTCCTCGGTCCATCCCGTCCCTGCTGACAGCCTCCTTAGCGCTGGGAACGGCGGGGCTGTAGTTTGGCTCCGTTTCCCTTCCTGCCCTGTGCCTGGCAGAGCRGGCGCTCCGCGTCTCCCGTAACGCCCCGCGTCCAGCCCGACCTCTGGGCACCCGTGTAAATCATCTAATGCAGCTCGAAATTAAGAGTGTTGACAGTCTGGCCTGTAATCTGAGCGCTTCCCCTGAGGCACAAAGCTGCTCTGCTGCCCGTCACTGCTCTTCGCTCCCATTCACTCCGCAGACGACACATGTGCAGGGCTGCTTCGCACAGGGTGATTTTCCTACTGTGTTTTTATTGAAATTATATTAATGGAAAAATATATGGATGTGCTCCAAAAGCAGGAAGTGGAAAAATTAGGGTGGCTCATGCAACCTAAGTCTTCCTTATTCCACACTGGCCCCTGTCACAAACTATTTCTAGGCAAAACACTGTGGGTAAAGGTCCTAAAACTGAATACAGGGGAAAGTATGGAGGAGAAAGTGATTTTATGTATTTCCATTCCAGGACGCTGATGCTTCTTACTCGAGAAAGAATAACTGAGAACAAACCTTTCCAAAACGCTGGTGCCTTGAGTTACTCTCAAGTAACTTTTTTGAATTGCCTGACTACAAACAAGAACTTTGGGTATTCTATAATGTCTTGTGCTTCTGTCATCATGTAACTTGACARTTATATCAAGCTGTATACACACAACTGAATAAAAATCTGTTTATAAACATACCCATTTYACATCCTTGCATAGACTCGCCTGAAGTGGATTTTTAAGCTTACATGAATTCAGACAGAACACTAGGCAGGCTCTTTTTTTTTTTTTGTTCTGGTGCTTTGACTTTTGTAACTATTCAGTGAGCAGGCTCCAGCTCAGACAGCTGCAGGATCCTAATTCCCTCACCTTCTTTCCTAATGAATCTCAAGCAAAAGTAGCTCTGCAAGGTGGGAGAAGCTTGGAGCATAAAGGAAAGGCTGGATAGGCTCCTTGTGGARCGTTCCTTTTGGGCAGGTGTGGGGGGTGTCACCTCTGAGCTGGTGTCACAGCGTTCAGGTCACGTCACCTCTGTCCCAGAGGCYGCAGTGTTCCCATCGTGCAAGGGCTTCACCAGGGCACAGGGTGCAGAGAAGCAGGGGGGAAAGGGGAGAGGGGAAGATCTCCAAGTTCTCCATGACCAGTGCTTCTCTTTCCAACGCTGGTGCAACTGCAGCCCCTCTCCTGCCCTGCCCCAAACCTGGTGTGTTTCATCTATAAAACAGAGAAGAGGAGCCAGGAGAGTGCTCCTGTGCTGCAGTAGCCTGTGGCTAGAGAGGGGACTCGGCATGGATGCAGAACTASTGAAAAATCCACTTACCAGCAGCCTGCTTAGAGCCAAGACACCAGGTCCAGGATCAGAGCTGAGGCAGGGCAGAAATTGTGTCGTAGGTGACTTAAGTGTGAAACAACTTTTGACTTCACCTGCTAGAAATTGGTCCTTCCACGCGGAGCAGAAGTGGATCCTGACACTACGGAATCATTCCGGTTGGAAAAGCCCTCGAAGATGCCCGAGCCCAGCCTAAGCCCCAGTGGTTTGGCAGCCTGGTGTGAGCACCCTACCACAAGTGTCTGTGATTGCACTGCCTTGGGGARCTGCAGGCAAGACCGTGCTTGAAGGTACCTCCCCACAAACCCCTACAACCTCCCAACCAGTAGAGCAAAGAACAGCAGTGAACTACAGGAGGGATACAGGTATTGAAAGACTTTTTTTTTTTTCCAAAGAGCCTTCATATGGAAAGTTTTGAGTAAGGTTAAGAGCCAGGGATAACCAGCAGCCAGTTCAGCTGGAAGGGATTCTGCCTGCTGACGGGGAGCTGAACACGCGCTCTCCAAAGCCCATTCCCGTGATTCTCCTTCACACGCAKCTCAGCCCAGCACGGTGGGTTTGGGGTATCAGCCCTTTCTTTGCACACCAAAGAATCGCTTCCTAAAAGCTGCCTCTGTGAATGGCCCGGGTGTATTTCACACTGCAAACGGTGGAGGCTCCTATCACGGGTTTGGAGAGCCGCTTCCCTACCCCTTGGGAATGCAATGGCAAACTCTGCAAATTTCTTTATAATCATTTATGGTCACTGATCAAAGGCAGCAGTTCTTAGCCAGGTCTATAGTGCATGGTCACGTGACAAGTTTTTAAGATGAGCAATGAAGTGATAAACATCCTGCACATTACACAACAGTGGGTGTTCCTGCTGAAGACGCACGAGCAGCACTAGCGCAGTGAGGAGCAGACCTGATTTAAGCTGAGTTTATGGGGGGAAAGACAATTATTTACCCCCTGCTCAACTGTGCCAGCAGTAACTACCCTGTAGTAACTGATGTTCAGAGCAGACCCTCGTGTGGTGCTAGTGAGGGTGGGGAGGCCACGTGCCACGAGAACAGGACAAACAGGTCACTGGAGAAACGAGCTAAGTGACCTGCAATAGGGCCAAGGTCTACCCCAACCTCTGCCTAGGTTAAAAAAAAAAAGTCAAAAAAAGAGATTTTTTTTTTTAAATCAGGAAGTTCTCACTGTGACTGTGGAAGACTCAGCAGTGATGGGAGCACAGGGTAGCAACATTGACATTATAAAAACATGYGGAGTGTGGAAGGAGGAAATAAAATGAGCCCAGCTGCGTTCCCTCTCTCCCCTGATTACCCGAGTTCACTTTCAGCCGTAGGTCACACACCTTATTAATGTGTCAGAACATTCACTGTTTCATAAAAACACTTCTTTGCCTCCCCAAAACAAGTACTTGGTAAAAACCTTTTAACAGTTTCTTTGCTAAAGCATAACTGATAACTTACTGTAACCAAGGAAGATTAAAAGCCAAATATTATAACAAATGCTAAAACTGAGCTCAATACAATATAAAATACCTAGAATAAAAAAAAAATCATATAAATAGTCATATATACAGTTTGGATACCAACTCTTGTGGGTGACAGTCCTGCAGTGAGCTGTAACCTGACTATCAGTGCAAGTCACCTGTCCAACTATTAACACAAAAATCAGAATGCACCAAAAATAGTTTGCGATCAGAATGAGGCTGCTCTTCTCTGAGCTGGAGGAGAGCGCTCCCCATCCCTTGGTTTGTCAGCCACATGGGGAATGGTGTCTCCAATGCCCCAGCACCAAGAAAACCCAGTTCCAAGCTTCCTGCCTGCACAAGGCTCGGGCTAGCACCAGTTCTGTGCAAATCCCTTAGGCCGGTTTGGCACTGCCACCCAACGCCACCCTGCGAGTCGAGTCCCATTTGTCGTCTACAAACGTGGCACGAGCGTTTGCTCCCCGACATGCAACTCAAAACTCAAAAAAAAAAGAGAAAACAACCCAACAACCAAAGAGCTAGAGAGGGGCTAGAACAAAGGCACGTGCAGGAGCTCGGATGAGTAAACGGGGTAGCCGAGGGGCGGCTCGGCAGCCTGCACCGTGAGGTTGCGGAGCAGCACGGGGTGCGCCTGGATGCTGTAGCGCTCCTCGTCGTCGTTGGTGGCGTACAGCAGCTCCCAGGACAGGTTTGCCCACTGACCGCGCACGGCCTCGGCATTCAGTTTTCCCACTTGCACTAACAGCTCCTGAAGCGTGAGCACTCGCCCCGTGTAAATGCCCTTCGAAAACAAAGAGATCAAAACGTTCAGTACGTCCTCCAAAAAGATAGATAGTGCAGTTACAAAGTGCCAAGCGGAGCTCTGGGACTCAACATTTTAACAAATCTGGCCCTAAAAACACTCAGCAGCAATAAAGGAAGCTGACTACAGTCTAAGAGCAAACATGCAGCCCTCAATTAATACCACATGTGCTGAGGAGACACCACCAGTCTGTGCTGTTGCATACATTTATGAACAGCAAAGCAGCAAAGTGTTCAAGAAATCTTCTTGCATCAATACTTAAAAAACGATCAGCAAATATTGCCACATCTGAAACAGATGCCTTATGATTTCCAGCAACAGCAATGCAAGCTCCTGGCCAGCACAAACACGACCTTTGGCTGCACACTCAAGTTTTGGGAGGCAKCAAAATAGAATTCAAGCAGCAGAAAAGAAAAACAAACTCTGTTCCTACTTAATGGGAATTTTTTCCTTACCATGTTTGGATCATGTCCCAAAGAAAAAAGGTATGGCTTTTCCTGGAGAACTGCTTGCTGCCACTCATGGTCCGACACCAGCCCGATGTACCAGTCGTTCTCATACTCTTCCAGACAGTTCATGAGCTCTTTGAAGTCCTCTACTGGCCCCAGACTTGCTTTGTCAACCATAAGTTTGAAAGTGTATCTGAAAGGCACAGAAATCCACGCTTATGTAAGCACTGCTGCAGGAAAAGTACAAGAGAAACACTCCGAGTTACAGAAGTCAGGAATACACCATGAAATGTTATAAAACAGAAGCCAATTTTAAGTTACTCCTTATCAGTTTAGTGGTCAGAAGTTAGTATGAATATGCTTTTAGCTCAATGAAATGTGCTGTAAAACATCTTCGCTTAAACATCTTTCATTCACCTCAAACATGGGTACAACTGCCTGATAACGGTRAAAGAAAAACAAATTCCCACTGCTATTTTCTTACACGATTTGATCAATGGATCATTTTTCCCTACTTAACAAAGGGAATTTCCAGTGGAAAATGAAAGGAGGAGAGGGTCTCCTATCACAGCCTTTACCACCTGAGGCTATAGACAATGTTCTTTATGCAGAAAGAAGCTGCACAAAGAAGCTACAGGTAGCCTGAAACTGCACGGTTTGAAAATGGACATCACTTTGTGAAGCGATGCTACCTGCAACACAACACCAACAACCCTCTAGGTCCTTTTTATGATCTCAGGGGATTTTCTTCCTCTACCTGAAGGCCTTCAGCGCGAGCTGGAATAGCTCTGGTTTGCTGGTTAGCCAGTCCAGCCCCACGGACCACGGGATCCCACCCGTGTAGGCTCGGAACACGTGGCTAGGGGCAGGCACCGTGTTATCCAGTCCAAAGAGACCGAAGCAACATGACAGGACGCCGTGGATGTACAAATCTTTCAAGGCTTTGTCCTTCATAAGGTCTTCAAGCAAACTGGAAGGCTTCTCTTGCAGATGGAAGAAGTCCAGCTGACTCAAAAGGAAGCAGTACCACTCCTCTGGAAACCGCTGCCTCATTTCATGCACTTTGGCCATGGGTACCGGGGCTGTTCTCCATTCTGCTGGGATGCTCAGCAGCTCCGAGTAGGAGCAACTGAACTCAACCACAGGCAAAACCTCTCGCCGTTTCCCTTTGTCTACGGCAGGTAGCCCAAGCCCGACTGCTCTGTATAATTTATCTTCTGGCGACATTTCTTGTAGGACATCCTGATTCTGGGTTTCTACAGACCCTGGAATAGACAAATGTGTTTTTGGTGTCATTACCAATTGTCCGGTTTCTTTTCTGTCTCTCCCTCTGCCACCGGGTTCAAGACCAAAAACGTCACTGTCATCGGTCCAGTCCTCAATGGTATCAACACTGAAGCTATCGTCATCCCGCAGAGACCTCGATCTTTCCACTGCACTGCTGCACGGATTTGCTGGAAATGATCCTTTTTGGGTTTTGTCTGCAATCTCCAGGCTTTCCCACTTTTTGGACTTTTTATAGCAATACTGAACAAGCATCCATACGAGCACTTTAATGAAGTCATCTTTCAGATGCTTTAGATTTTCRTGAGAGTCAATTATGCCGGACAACACGCTCCTGGCATCCGAATACAGTCTCACAGGTAGAACAGTGCAGGGAGTCAAAATGTTTCCGAAATGGTGATTGAGGGAGACGATCTTCGTGTGCTCCTGATGTTCAAAGGCCATTTCAAAAATCTCATCAACTCTGTGAGCTTCAGCAGCATGGCAGGAAGTTTCCTGCAGTTCCAGCCCCTGAAGTATAAATAAGAACAATCTGGATTTAGTCTTAATCAGGACATACCCTTATGAGTTATGATCTTGCAACAAGATTTTTCTCAACAAATAAAGGTACCCTCACTTGCTAGCATTTCCAGAACTAAATTATCTACAAGTTAAACCACAGGTCAGCATCACTACCAAAGCATTTACTGCAGTATTCAGCATAGATTGGTAACTCTGTCTTGAAAACAGTCAAACAAAGAAGTTGCTTCATAGAGATTTGGCTTAGCCAGGTTATTATAGTGTCATGTCACAAGCTAGACAAAAAAAAATAATAATTCCACACCCTCTACTCATCTTGACTTGTTTGTGACTTCTCAGATTTCCTAAATAATCTGTGTGGTTTACATGGTTTTAAAACAGTATGAAAGAGCAGAGCAGCTGCAAGGCTAAGTAGTATCAGGTAATAAGTTAGTCCTTGGCATGCAGTTACCTTAATATTTACACAACAGTAAGTGAAGCCCCTTTCCAGCACCAATATCCACATGAGTCTGTCCTGGAAACGGCACAGGTAGTGTGATCCAGGTAGGGAGAGACCTAGGCATGGGCAAAAAGAAAGGTTTATAGTCTGGTTATACTTTGGTATCAAATTTTTTTTAACCTACAAGCCAACTAAGGAATTCACCTCCATACAACATTTTTTCATTGACATCAAAGTTAATGGAAAAAGAAAAAAAAAMCGTAAAAACGGTTCACTAGTACCTAGATTCTTACATCAAGTGGCTCCAAGACAGCCCTTGAACATACAGCTCTGTCTCTGGAAAAGCTGACACATGACATTTTTTCCTCTTAGGGTTTCCATAAAAAGAACAATGCCAAATTTCTTGCAGTTGCTCTTTTTACTGTCACTCTTTTAAGTTATTGCCCATTTTCATCTCCTGCAATACCGGGCCACTACTGCTGAGCATGGACAGGGATGTTTGCTGCCAGTGCAGACTTGCTTCTAATCTCACTCATGCCCASTGATCGCTCAGGTGCACAGAGAATTTTCCTTTTAAAACCCTGTAACAGGAAATCAATGAAATCAACCATTAGGCTACAGTTAAAATTTAAGCAACCTTTTCTAACTCACTGAGCTAATGAAGTGCATTTTCTTGCTAACGTTTTAAAAGATTTTAATTTTTTTTTTACTGCTAACTATCAAAGCTACTAAAACACATTTACAGAGAAATGAGTATGATTTTAAATTAAAATACAGACACTCAAAGTGCTACTTTTTCCACCTTTAACTCATCTGAGAACATAAAATTACTTCTTGCTTGAAGACATTCATTTACAGATTTTTCCATTAAAAAAGGACCATTTTCTTCCAAGACTAGTGATTTGGATCATTCAATCTGAGGCATAAATGCCACAACATGGTCAAAAGAGTAACTGGGAAAAACTTATAAAACACATATGTATCCCTACACACACTTTTGACTGATGCCATRGGCAAAGTGAAGTTCTTTCTTCCTTAATGGAAAGAAGCTTCCTACTTTTCCATATTTAATACTTATCCACTGGTAACAAAACTGCAGGAAATGTTCCCTAATAAAATGTTTCGATTTCTTCTTCAAAAAGCCTGATTACAGTTAATTTCCACTGTATTTAAATAGTCGTAAGCCACTGTGTACAAGGCTTATGTAAACTGTCTCATGTCAAAGAGCAATGTCATCTTGATTATCTATGTTATACAAAAGGCTGCATTTTCCTGTTTCTACAGAAAATGAATGCAATTTTTGCAGTTACTGTGTCACCAGCTAGGGAAGGGCTCAGTACTCAATCATTTCTGGTTATATAATTTAGGAAAATACCCATGGATGCCTTCTGCAACTACAGCTCTAACTCACTGCTGCCAAAGATGTGCCATGAAGTCTCATCAACACGTTCTGGTCTCAACTGTTCGCTGCTACTTAGGCTACAACCATCAGGTCAGATTCATTCTACCTAATTAACACATCCAAATCAGTAAAGATCACCTGCTGGTTCCTGAAGAGGGAAACTGCAGAGTAAATCAGATACATTCRCACTCACACAGAGCAGTTTGACACCCCCTCCTTCTCCTGACTGTCAAGAGCAGCCAGGATGTTTGTGTGCCGAAGGCATCTCAATTTATTGCCTGTAATCAGGTGGGATGAATCCCTACCACCTGGACTTGTTCAGTACAGAAAAATTTTGTTTCTCCTTATTTTTAAGGGAAAAATAAATATGGACCATAACATAGTGAAAGATGACAACTTTTTGCTCTTGGGAATGCTGTCTGAATTTTACATTTAATCTATGTTGTGATACTTGATTTAACTCCAGCGATACAATTTTCTTACTTTACAGTTAAAGGACATTCCTTAACGCATTTAACTGTGTTCCCCTATGGAATTGGTTGGTCGGTGCACGCACCCAGGCTACCAGCTGCTAGTGCAGACTGCAGAGCAACAGCCAGGCTTGGAACCAGCTGCTGGTAGTAGACGGTGTCAGCGCAGACACAGGCTGCAGCCCCCGCGGGTCCCGGCCAGCTCCGGACGGGCCTGGGGAAGCCGATGAGAAACACGGGCAGCGTGAAGAGCGGCAGCAAAGGAGAAGACAGGAGCGCAGAGATGGCAACGAAGGTCACCAGGATGGGGAAGAAAACCACGTTGAGGGTGATTAAGGTGGCAGTAGATTTCCGGCGCTGTTTTTTCTCTGTCCATGATGTCAGAAGAATGGCGATGGCAAACTGCAGCTTGGAGACAAACTGGAGCAGTCGATCGCGCAGGATAGCGACCTGCAAGGCAGCAAAGCACATGTTTATTTGGAATCTGTATCTAATCCCATCCAGCACTACTAAAGCTGACTATGTGGGCAAGTTTTGAAGAAATGAAGTGAGATTATCATTGGCTGATATTAGAATAATGTCTCAGTGTACAATTTTAGTCTTGATTTACTAGATCCCAGATCCTAATTGTGTATTGGGACACGGATAAGAAATAAAAAATTTAAAGGACAACCATTCGCTTAAATCTGCATGATGACAATTACCAGCAAGAGTCTGATCCCCGTATCAAGGCTCCTGTTCCACCATGTGTCTGGATTAAACACCAATATTTGTGTTATTGAYACAACCACTATGTCCAGTAGAGCATTCTCTGTATTCTGCCAGACCTAAGAGAAAGATACATCAAGGCATATATTTAAAAACATTTATATCTTTTCTTAGCTTTTTTGACCTGAAGTATTTCTTCCAAGCCACTTTCATGTTTAAATCATGTACAAGCAAAAATATCTTAGGCTGAGTAGCATATTTAAAGTTCAAATTACCATTCGAAAGATTCTTGTGAATCCGATGCAAACAGACACAGAATGAAGATTTTGTAGGGARCGGTCAAGTGACAGGAACGCTAGCATAGCAAATGGACACACTGTAATTGAAATAAAATATTCATCAATTTCTTTACAAAAAAATAATTAAAGTCTACAGAGGTTAGCAGTGCAGAATGGAAATCTGAACATAAAAGCAGCACTCTTCCAATCAAGTAATTACTGCAAATTCCTCTTCCTACTACACCTCTGGAATATTAAAATTAAATAGCACATTTGCACTAATGACTGAAGACTCCAACTTTTATGTCCATGTTTTAACTGTTGGAATTTTTTTTTAAGCTTCCCTGAAGATAATGGAAATACTCAAATGAGTAAAAACAAGCATAGGAAAACCATTCATCAATCCACTCCCCAAAACTGCCAAACCTTTATGAAATTAAATGAATTTAGATCAAGCTTTGGTTCCCCCACAGCAACCAAATTTGTCACTAACTTTACCAGAAASCAGACTGGGTCCTTTCCTAGGAAGCTAAAAGAACCTAGTACTTAACCAGCTTGAAGACTCTCACCTTTGTTACTTTWAAAAAAAAAAAAATCTACAACAGTAATTCCTCAAAAGTGAATATTGATGTTAACTAAAATTCTTGTGAAGGTCTTGATTTCTAAGCTGAACTTTAAAAAGCTCAATTTTTCAGACTGGCCCTATGACCGGTCATTTTCAAATACTCTGAGGCAGTAATTTTGACCTCAATTCCATTCAGCCAAACATCAATAAATATTTCTAACTAAATTATTTACTTTGTCTTAGCTCATTCACAGAACCTCACACACAGAGTAATTCTAGTTTGCTTTCAATTTTCCTAAAATCATCATCTAACAAACAACAGATAGTGGGTATTCCTACCTAGTGTTAGTAAAATCCTCCTGACAACACCAACTTTCATTAGCCTTCTTTGCTTCTCCATGAACACAGTCACAGTTCTGATATCCTTTGGATAAAAGGGGTTTCGGAAGACTCCACACAAGTACACTCTCTGAATCTCTCTAAGAATCCACATAATTACGAGTAATAGCATCAGAATGTAACTTGCTAGAGCCTGCGGACTGCCTTGGGAAAAAGATGAAAACCCAGCAAAGTGATGCAGCAGGCTGGCTTCTAGGAGAGCGAATGTCAGCACGGTCAAATAAAAAATGAATTCCCGCCACCCAAACTGTGTTCTAAAACCTTTGGGCTTATTTTTAGACTTGCTGGAGGCTAAGTGGCCGCTCAGGGTGTGTTTGAAGGCCAAAGCAATCTCGCTTAGGTTAAGACTCAGTATGAACCCACATCCAGTCATGAAGAGGATCACACCGAGAGTGCTGGGAATGAAATACGATGCTATTGCTGTTCCAGCAGAAATGAGAAACATTACTAATAACCTGTGAAGGAGAAAATAAAAAAGATTTGCTTGGAAAGAAAAAGGTTATCAACGCTATTGATATATTTTAGCATTACGTAAACAAAATTTACTTTGTGTTACTTGACAGAGGTGACCCTCCTAGTCCAAACTCCAAGAGCTGTTCCATTCCCCATAGAAAAAGTGCATCAAGTGGGGGCAGAATTCCCAGTGCCCATAAGAGTGGCAGAAAAAGAAACATAATGTGCAAAATCTGGTTGGTCTGTTCTAGAACAGGCGTGTTGACAGCGAACCTAGGTAAGAGAAGAAATGTATTTGACTTCTTTGAAGGAAAAGAAAGCTGACACACAGAAAGAGTACTTAACTAATACAGTAAATACAGAAGCATAAACATTATATAAACTCAACAGCTATTTCTTTAAAGAAAAAAAAGTACCAATGTTTTTCAGTTTACGCTTGAGGCAAGAACACAGCAATCAGAACATGAGCAAACAAGCTGCTTTTTCATTCAAAACATTCAAAGTCTTTAAATTACCTAGACAAGCTAAGCGAACTCAGTATCCTAATTATTTTGATACTATTGCTATAATATACTCAAGAAGCACTTGAGGAAGAAAGCGTTGAGCCCAGAGGCTCCAGACCTCAATCTGATTAGCACAAGAGTGCTAAGGTGTTATTTTAGTGCTACAATAATGTAACATTTGTGTAAACCCAAGAAATAAGTGGTAAGAATTAATTCTGAACTGTCATGTTCTTTTCACATCAGACCATATACTCTCTTTGGGGATATAAAATGCATTTTTTGTGCAGAAAAGTATTTATCTTTCTATAAAAATGCTTTCTATTTCTATAATTTTTTTTCTATAAAATTATTTTCTTATAAAAATGATCAGTACTGTAAGTGCATAGATTGCAAGCCACATACTATTTATGGACAAGATAATAAACTTAGAAGACAGACTACTAAGATATTTTGCTTCTCTTTACTTCTTACTGTACAATTAGGTAATTTTCAAAATAATTTTGTCAGGAATTTTAGGAATATCTGAAGTTTTTCCTCATAAATTAAAGTACAAGAATTTGGGATCCAAGACCACAAGTGTAATTCTCATTTCATAAGTGAATCATTAATAAAGATATCTGATATTTCTGATGACAAAACTAGTAAAATCAAACATGCTTTTCTTTTTAAGTTCATTTAAGTATCCCAAGCATAAAAACACATGCATATTACAATGACAAAGCAACACGTGAAGTAAAGCCAAAAAACGCTTTGCTTTAAAAAGTTCTGCAATGCTTTGGCTAAAACATTCCGCTGAAAGGTGGGAAGATGAAATCATCTCCCATACATAAATGGATAAAGTTGTAGTATACTGCATTTTTAAAAACACAAGTCCAAAATCAATATAACATAGTACACATTTGCTTATCCACTCACTAAATCCATGATTTTGTGTTTTTTTTTTCCCTGTAGTTTCATTCTACAGAGATAAAATTAAAAAATAATCAAGGATAAAACCTGAATTTAGAACTAGTGCTCCTAGAGTCTGCAGTGTTTAGATCTATCGTTCCCAGGCAGAAAAGCTTTTTTTGAGAATATACCTTCAAAAAGGATGTTAACGCAAATGCTCTTACAGAATAACACAGTAAGATAATTTTAACTGTATGTAACTTAGAACTGCTGAAGATCTTCCTAACTTATGTGGAATGCTAGGGAACTATTTTATACTCAAAATATAAATTTCTATACACTTCATAAACTTCATAATAAGCTTCAATTTCTATTGCATAATCTTGTAGGCTTTTTTTTTTGACTTGTGCAGCTGAATAGAATTTCCAAATACCTTTTCCTCAGAAAAAAAAAAAAATTATATCAAAATATACATAACAATTATTATTTTCATTAGCTAAATGCTGTCTTCAGTTTACCTGTGTGCAAGATCCACTGCAATAAAAACAAAAATATAGAAAGGTCTCATGAGAGCAGTAATTTCGTACGTATCCAGTGCTTGGAAAGTAGCTGTTTCGGTAGCTGTATTTATAGTTAATGAATACTCTCCTATACATATTGTCACCCATCCAAATACAAAGATGACAAYAGTTCCTCCAATGTTACTATATAGCAAGGTTAATCTGTTGGGCAGCAAATACCAAGTTCCCAGACCACACAACACCCCTGCCAGAAGGGGATGAAACACAGTGTTGATTATATACTTCTTGCCAGGAATAATAAATTTGACAGTCTCTGAACCTACACAGCTGGAAAACTCAAACTCATCTTCATCTGTTAGCGTATTCTGAATTTGCATTCTTTCTACCGTCACTGTCTTCTGTTTTGCATAYAGATTTGTCAGTTGGAGAGTAAGTGCAGTAACAAACATGAGTCCTCCTGAAAGTGCTGCMGTATAATAGTCTTTCATCATGTCCAATTGGTACAAAAGTGTTCCTACTCCTCCCAAAACCCATGGCGTCAAGAAAAGAATAATCTGATTCACGTATATGTACGGAGGGGCACAGTAGCCTAATTTAAAGCGGGGACCTCCCAGCACAGTCTGTGGAAAGCGCTTCAAGAAGAATTCCTGCTTGTAATCATTCAGCAGGGGTACATCTGGACCCATTCTTGTTATTCAGGAATGCTGGATGAGTATCATTTTTCCTGGAAGAGAAAGAAAAAGAAGGCAGTAATACAAGACTGAGCTTTCAAAACTTAAGCAGAGAATTCTTCCGTCCTGTTTCATTTAGCAAGTCACAGTGGAATTCTGACATATTAGTTGACAATATCCTAAAGCATACCTATTCCTCCCTAAAACACAGCCACTATGCAAACATCTAAAATGGAAAAAAAAAAGGAAAAAAATAGACAATATATTTTATAATAAAGAACATATTGATGATCTAAAGCTTTGTGCACATGAACACTTGGGAAATGACAGTCAATTCATTTCCACAGAAGAAAACCTTCCTAAAACAAGAATGCTTTACATCCAGCCTGATTCCAATCGCATCTTGCTAAGAACCTCCAATTCCAATTAATCCTGTTAAAGATCTCCATATACAAGTAGCTGAATAGAAGAACAGTCATTAATTTCAGTGAGTATCCACATAAAATCAAGGAATACAGTCACACTTGAGTCCCTAGAAAAATCAAATCAAATTACAAAATAAAATCAAATTACTACTTACAAAAAAGTAGTTCAAGTAATAAAAATTGCTTTTGTACATTTTGCATTTTTATCATCTTTTTGCATTTTTATCATCTTTCCTGTGACAGCCCAGTCACAGAACAGGATCTTATTGTACCACATAAGATCAGTTTGTGACTCCAAAACCGGTTATTTACATATAAAATATATATCGAAAAAAAGCAATACTTACAAGTTGTAGCACAATCAGCATATATTCTATTCTGTACTCAGCCAGTGAAGAAAACTGGGGAAAAAAACAAAAAGAGATGCCTGTAAACCTTTAAAATCAGCAGTGTCAAATAGAGATCACATTTAATGAGCACTCAGATGATCAAGCAATGTATAAATAATGGTTGCAGGAAGGTAATTAGATAGTCAAACACAATCTTATACTACCAGTCACAAAACCAAGCACCTATCGATGTCAGGCCCAAATACTCTAGACACAGGGTGAAAAAAACAGCATAATAATAAATATAATGTGAAAGCACTCATTCATAATAGAAAAGATGTTGGCATGCATTAGAAGATGTGCGGGGATTGAAATTCTGTGCTCCTTCTAACAGACATGTATAATCTGACAAATTCCTGTCAGCCACCACGGTGCTACAGCAAGAAGGGAAGACACGATCGTGATGGAACTCCCAAACTACGGGGATCCCTTCCTTCTGCAACGCTGAGGGCTGCAAGGTGCTTTGAGGCTTAATTTTCTCCTTGTATTTAAACAGGTATCAATCACTGACTCTAGGTAAATACTGGTCATCATGGACCTTAGCTAGAAACAGTGCAAAGGAGAAATATTAGTAGTCATTCATATGCATTATCATGTGCTTTCTGTGTCTACTACATCAATACATTCCATAGTGAAAAGTAAGACCTTACATGCTCTTTTACTACTATCCATATACACATTTTTGGGGCTTGTAGGAAAGTGGAATTGAAAACGTAAAGATCTTTTGGCCATTCCATTCCAAGCTACTGACTGTTTTTTTAAGTGAAGGCAGAGGCAACAGCCAGTCATAAGGAAAACACTGCTCTTCACGCGCTGACGCTGGAGAGTGGAATTTGTTGTACTTGGCTCAAGAACTCGTAAATGTAACAAGGACACACCCGACCAAAAATAATGCTCAAATATAATCTAAAAAATGTCACAATCTGGCCAAACTTTGTCTATAAGAAAGAGACACTGTTTAGAGAACTGTGCACATATGAGACTAAGTTACTGGTAGGTTATATACTGTGGAAGTTTTGTACGTATGCAAAGGCAGATGAGTTTTAAAGAGGACATAACACCCAAGGGTGCACTGCTCTCCATTAAAAACAGCCTTCTGGCAGCTGTGACGTTCTCTTCTCTCTAAAAAGAGCTGTTTCCATTTCAAGCTCTAGTTGGCCTTCTTGCTTGTGGGTTTGTACCGCTAGCAGCACGTTGACAAAACTTTCCTATTGCAGTTCCTGCATAAACAACAGATCGATGCACGTAAGCAGCGTAGCTCCGCTCGGCTACACCCCAGCACCTAAAAAGGGACCATAAAGACAAGYGGATTTATTTATAAAAGCCTCAAACTCGAGTTCAATGAAGATGGAAACAACATCGTGTTCGCTGCAGGCAGGGCTTGCCAGGGCTTCAAGGAGGCCYGGCTCGTTATTCCTGCGCCATGTCCTAGCAACGCGGGCCGGTGTTTGCAGGTCCCGGCTCCGCGGCACATTCCTGAGCGAGGGCCGGGCCCGGCTCAGGCAACGTGCCCGGTGAGCGGATCTGGGCGCCGAGGCGGCGGGAAGCCCRTCCCTGTGCCCCAGCGCTGRGGCTTGTGTTAAGGTAACCGGGCAAACACTGCTCGTGTCCAGGTGGAAATCCGCAGAGGGCAACGAACTTTGCCCAAACCAACATCTCTTCAGCACCAATGATGTCTTAGTTTAAGTGTTTTGTTACAAGATGGTAATGTGGAAACATTGGCTGTTTAAGCCACGTTCTTCTTAAAATTACTTACCTGGTGGTCGTCCCCCATGCTGCTAAATAAGGCCAATGAACCTAAYGTGTGAGGCTGGGGGGCACCCCAGGGTGGGCACCGCTCAAGGGCCATCTCAGAGGCAGCTCCATGAGCCGCGCTCCATCCCCACCGCTACCTCCTACCTGAGGAACCCTCCGCACCCGACCAGCATAGTGGTCATCCCATTTAAAAATAAATAAAAAAAATATTAAAAATAAGAAAAAAAATTTATTATTATTATTAATCCAGCAACCTCTCCCCCAATCTTCCACACATGAAAAGCAAACAGAATAATGAGGGGCGCCGTGCCCGTGTTGTCGCTCCGCAGGGGAAGAGGAGGCAGGGGCGGGCAAAGGCCGGGTCGCGGACGCTGCGAGCCCGCCCCGAGCGCCGCCGCCGGGAGCCCCCGGCTGCACGGAGGGGCCCCGCAGCCGCCGCCGGTCCCGCGAAGAGCCGCGGCGAGGCGGGAACCTACCTCAGAGCGGCCGGGGGAGGGGACGGCACTGAGCGCGCAGCCCGCGGCGGGAGGAGGAGGGAAGATGGCGGAGCGCGCCCTCCTCCCCACGCCCCGCGGTCTCTCCTCCCCGCCGCGCCGGCTCCGCCGCTGCAGCTGCCGAGGAGGACGGCAGCGGAGCGGGAGGAGCGCGGGGACGGCGCCGAGCGGAGCTGACGGAAAGCGACGGCGCCCCTTCCCTCCCCGCCTCCTTGTCCCCCCCTTCCCGCCCGCTGCCGCCGCCATTTTCCCCGCTGGAGGGAGCGCGGGCTGGCGGARCGCAGCGGGATGGGGCGGCCGGGGCAAATGGCCCCGGGCCGGCGGGCGGAGAACGCGACCGTCCTCCCCCTCAGAAACCATTCTTTAGTTTTATTTATTTATTTATTTAACTTGCTKCTTCTTCTTGCAGAATTTTATGTCCTGCCTTTGGGCCCCCCGAGTTGGGGAATCGCCCGCTCTGGCGGCTTTGTCTTCCCCCAGCCCCTTCTTTACGCTTTTCGACAGTTGCTGTGAAAATTTCATCACATTTTTTGTTGTTGTTTCCACAGTGTTACGTTAGCAGAAGTGTAATACTAAACAAATYAGGTGGTTCCCTTATTTATTACAGTATTTAGCGTTGATACTCAACATTCTGCTATATTTTAACAATATTCAGTGCCTAATATTCTGATATTACAATAGAAAAAAATCTCTTCAAGGCTTTCGTTACGCTTGAACGATAATGGTTGTTCTTCATTTATAACTAGCTTGACAATATTCTTGCCTCAAGTGTAAAAAAACACAACCTTGGTATTTTTTAATAATAACGTTCAACATTCACTAGTGAATTGAAATTGAGTTCCACGTACTGCAGTGCCACATACATGTTCAATCACACACGTTAAATCGTTGGCAATATTTAATACAGTAAGCATGCTTAATATCTTTTATATCTAATATTCTGATTTACAGCTTGCAGTAGTCAACAATGCACAATGTCTATCTTAATATCCATGTCTCATCAAACATTAAAATTCTTATAAATGTTAATAACCATTTAAATGTAAAGGGATAGTAAATATTAACCCACAGTGATGCACTTAAAATTTTAGATACACTAAAGGAATTCTTGTGGTCAATGTAATTCTTAACAAGAGCATCATTTTCCTGTAGGTGTATTATTCTTTGTTTTTCAAAGTGATAAAAAGGCATTTATATTGAGGAATCCAGTGTAAAGCCTTGGAAACACTATTAAAGAAAATGCTGATTTATCTTCACTAATGAAGGTCAATGGTACAAACTATACCAGAGTCCTGCCAACTAGAAGACAAATACAAGTATCTTTAAACTATCTGGTTTCTCCAAGATTCGTGACTAAGGTTTGTTTACCCTCTCCTTGAAATGTGTCTCTTGCAATCCTATTAAAAGGAAGTATTTGTTTGCAGATATTCCAGATATTCCAAATATTCCAAGGCAAACACGTTCTTTGTGCAATACACTGTCTGTCAATACTACTGAAGGTCTGTAGCAGGTATTTGTTTGATGAGTTTCATCCTGTCTCAGTTTTCCAATTCAGTAATAATTTCATAAAGATGTCAGGTAGGTTCTGCAAATAATGTAAATCCTAAATAACAGTGCAGAGGGAAAGCAGAAATAAGCTCTACTCCTTTGCAAGCTCTGCAGCTTATGTTTCAAAAGTGAGAGAAGGCTTCTTGCTTGTCCTCATTTCCTAAGATTTCTCTCTCAGAAAAAGAAAAAAGATCAAGATTTCAGGCAATACAAGTCCCAAACTAGTTACCAGAATAGGGAAAATGCAAATTAATTTAAGAGTTCTAAGAGCTGTATTGGTTTTATAAATATAAGCCTAACAGAATCAAGCATGTTTGGTAAATTGAGCCAGCCTCCAGCAGGGTTTTGGAGATTATCACACAACATCTGACTGTGGGCATGTGAACAGTCCCAAAGAAATTAATAGCATTGTTCATTTGTYTAAATAAAGATTCATACAAGATATTTGCAGAGTTGGGACTTGGTTTTTGGCTCGCTTCTTTTTAGTTTGTGAAAGGGCAGCTAGTCCTCAATTCCCAAATAACCATCTTGTGCATTTCCATATTTTCAGTATTTACTTTCTTTAGAATGGTGTGTGCAATAAATAGCAAGGATTTTTCTTTCTGTGACTTTTCCTCTTAAAGATAAGTGATTTCAAGTGATTTCTGTCATGGGATGCATGTTTATGTTCAGGGACATACAGAGTTGTAAAAATAAGGATGCTTAATGGCATCCCATACAAGACCCATCTTTTGTGTATCCGTGTAGCTACGTACAACTGCATGTATATTTTCCATGAGTACTTTTCTGTGTCTCCCTTGGAAGTAATTCCTTTAGACAACATGGCCTTAGGGTGCCAGAGAAAGACGGCATACTAGGGAGCTTGCGTCTTTCTGGATGACTGTCCCTTTAAAATAAACCCTTTTATTTTGCAAAAAAGTAAAAAAATAGCCTATTCCTATGTGTGAAACATGCCTATATTTTCCTGTGGACAAAGACTTTTAATGACATTTCTGAACTGCCATTAAAAATTCTATGGTTTTAAGCATAAGTCATCCCTATGGTGAGTTTTATCAACTAAAGTTTCGTCTCTCAAGCAGCTTCTGTTCCTGTATGATAGCTAAACATACACTTTAAGCAAATTCATAGTGATACCTGACTATTACAGCACTAAAACATTATAGAAGTATTTCTTAGCCATGTAGCTTTTTGTATTATGTGGTTTGTATTTTATGAGAACTGTATTCTTCTTCTGGTATTGCTGCCAGTGGAGGGTGAAGGGTTTGTGAGTTTGAAGATATCTTTGTCCTTTCTTAGTTTGTGTAGGACCTCCTTAAAGTCAAGAGCTGTGAGCCAAATAATTTTTGTACTTGCAAATAGCAAAGCTAGATTTATCTTTTTTCCCTTTTTTTTTTTTTTTTATTTGCTGTTAATGCCCAGATCCTCAGGATTATGGAAACAATCTATTTAAAAATTTTATGTTTTGGGAAAGACTTGCTTTTTTTTTTTTTTTTTATTTGCTGTTAATGCCCAGATCCTCAGGATTATGGAAACAATCTATTTAAAAATTTTATGTTTTGGGAAAGACTTGCTTGGAAGTCTCTTTCAATTGCTGTGTTTTGAAACTCCATCTCTGATCTGAGGAGAAGGGGACRAAGAATTACAGATTGCAAATTTGTGTGCTGCAGGAATCCCAAGTGACAGCCCAGGATTGACTATGGGATATTCCCTATCCTTATTCTGACAGGGTGTAACAGCTCTGTGGCCGTGCAGACTTCACAGTTGTCGTTTATTCCACGTTGCATGGCCAACGTAGACTTTGTGCTTATGAGTGCAGACAGATAGTGTGCAAGATACACTCTGCTGCAGAAACACAACCTTTTACTGCTAAAGCTTAAGGAAAATTTGTGGTCACTATAGTAATATGAGAGTTTATGCTGTCTGCACGCAAGCTACTGTATCCTCTCGCCTTCAACGTGTCACCCAATTGAGAACAGTTGTATTCTCATACATGTGTTATTAAGGGCTTGGTTCAGATTGCTGCCTTTTGGCATCCAACTTTGCCATTTGAAAATACGCTTGGCCCAAAAATTTAATTCAGAGACCTAAGGGAGACACTTGGGCTTCTTGTGAGAGCGGGAGCAGAGAAGTCCAGGTCTCCAGGAGATGTTTCAGTACTCACTAAAGGGTGGGTTGCCAACGATTAGGAAACATCATTGACAAAACAGGTTGGAGCTGCTGGTTTTGTGTTCAGATTCACAGTTGTATAACTGGCTGGCCATAAAAACACTTAACCATGAGGATGTGGGCAAGGCTATGGAAAAACCTTTYTCTGCTCTTCTGTTGGAACTGGGCTAGAGAGGGAGCCTGATCTCACCACCCAGGGAGCAGGGAATATCCCTCGAGTGCCACACTTAGGGTATTAATTAGTGTTTACCTGCCGCTTCTAATTATGTCTTCAGGAAGGGAGACCAGCGAGGGAAGAGGTCAGCGTGAGGATTATCAAGAGAAATTCCYACAATACTGAGGAGCTCAACTCTGGTGTCCAACACACCCAGTCAACCCTTCTCCTGCCGTGTCACAGACCATAACACCCGCTAATGAAGCTCCMACTTTTCATAAACAAATACATTTTTAACATCACAGCTAAGGGCCTGGAACATCCAACCACGTGCAGCCTGGCTGCAAATAATGTCCAGTTAATCTTCTTTTAATATCTGCTAAAATCACAAGAGTTAGTGCATAGGACTGAGTGTGAGGGGAAGAGGACAGAGATTCCCTGCTCAGGAACAAGAACCGGGCATCCAAACGCTGCCCAGGAGCAAAACCTGCCCGTCCAAGCCCTGTTAGGTGGCAACAGTGACTTGTTCTGGGTCAACCGATTGCTCTTGAGAAGACCTAGGGAGCTTGCCTCTGCTTGACATAAGTGGTAAAGTGCACACTGGCTCTACGCTGGTGCTCGGCATATTGCAGTACTGTTAATTGAGCTTTGCTCGTTTGATGTCCATTTTTTCTGACATGGGTTTTAATCTACTCTTTCAGAGTTCTAAAACTCTGCCTCTTTTTTTTTTTTTTTTCTTTTCCTTGTAATGTGCAAGTAAATCTAAAAAGGATTTTCATAATTTCTCTGTGTCCAACTTCTCTAATGAGGTTGGACAGATTCTCACAGTTTCTATTGCTAATATGATTCCTAGCAAATAGAGCAGAAGGTTCAAGAGAACAAAAGAAATGATCTAATTTTAGTAATGGTGCAGACAGAGTCTGTCATTTTTCTCCCTCTTTTATCCTCCTASCCTTTCTGAATGTCAGAACCTCTCCCAGCTCTGCCTCTTTTCAGTTTGAATTGAATTCTTGTTCATTGTCAAGAGCTGGGCATGATGAGTTTTTAGATATTCCTCGGAACAGAAGCTGTAGTATTTGAGATGCTTGCTTATCAAAAAATTCTGACTTTTCCTGAGTAATTCAGTTAGAAGGAACCACTTCCAGTGGAGCGGTTTCAGTAAATTAAAAAAA